GTGGTGTGCTTACCACGTGACCGCCGAGTTTATAGCCGCTACAATCTCGATTTATGTCATTCTGTCATCCACGGACGGGCCAAAACTAGCTGTTTTGATATTATTTTTTTGTTCCCGGGGGGGTTTGTTCACAACATGGCGACTGTTATAAACGGACAGAAATATAAAAATCATAAAATAATGCGAATTTCCATAAAAATTCCGAGTAATATTTGTGAAGATGAATGGGTAAATAAAGCACGGTGTTATTTTGTGTCTCTGGCGCAAGAATGATCGACAATATTTTGAATAATTCAGGTAAGGATGGCTTTTATATTTCGTTCTCGTATAGTGATGTAGTCGTGCCGTGTGCCCTGTCTACCTGTCTGGTGATATATTTTATAATACATGAAGGCATTTATATTTAAATCTGCTGTTTATACTTGTTTAGTCACTTTAGTGTATTAAACTTCGATACAGAGGCATTGAAACAATATGATTTCAAGAATATATCGGCAATTATAATACCCACTGAATCACTGATCTATTCCCGACCAAATCGACAGTAATGATTAATGCCTTTATGCTGATACAAGAAGCAAATGAACTTTTAGACCCCGTTTACACGGTACCGGACGAATTTGGGACCGGACGAAAATGCGTCCTTTTTCGCCTGTTTACACGCGAATTCGTCCTGTTAGGGGGTCTCAAATTCGTCCGGTTCCGTGGTTCTCGTGTGTTTACACGGCCGAAACGGACGAATTTTCGTCCGGTCACAAATTCGTCCCGTACCGTGTAAACGGGGTCTTAGTTTATTTGTTTGTTATGTCACTTAATATGTGCAAAGCCAAAGGCGGTGAGTATATAATAGTGTTCGGTACGTTCTATTTCTAGATGTTTATAGTTATAGTACGCGGGATGTTGTTAAATCAGGCTTAACAAGATTCCTAGAGCTACCCAGTGTGGATTGTTGTCTGCATATATGGACTTATCAGCAATTACATGTAATATAGCATATCAACTGACTTTTGTATAAGATATGACTTGTATAAGACTGCCTCAGTTATATATAAAGCCTATAAACATAATTCTACTGACATACATTGATATATACATATGGCTGTGTTATCACAATAATGCTCACAACTTCAACTTCTTTCTAACAATATAGTTTTGCAGTTCTGACTGTTCTGAGTATGATCTTATTCATTCAGAAATGTAAGCATTGCACTGTATTCAATGGCAAGCTATCCTGGATTCCAGAGCCTTCAGTTAATAATAAATTGAAATATCGTGAAGGCTCTGGTTCAACGGGAGGATTCTTTGATTAAACTGTTCCAATCACAAAACAGAATTAGCAGTTTTAGTACAGATTTTGGGCGTGTTAACCCATTAAGCGCCAGCGCTCTCCCCTTGACGAGTAAAATCGTCTGGCGTTAGACAGAGTAAAATACTCCGGCGTTAGACAGAGTAAAATACTAAAGTAGGGTGCATCAGGGTGCAATGCGACCCAATGGGTTAACTAGACACATGGGCAGATAGATCAGTTAACCCATTAAGCGCCAGCACTCTCCCCTTGACGAGTAAAATCGTCTGGCATTAGACAGAGTAAAATACTGTTCAAAGTAGGGTGCATCAGGGTGCAATGCGACTCAATGGGTTAATATAGTACATAACATAGGTCATAGACATACAGTTTCAATACAATACAAAATGATTTTGAAAAACGTCAAGGTCAATGAAATCATACAAAATGAATTTATGAATATCAATTAAATGTATTTAAAACAAACATAATTTCAACATCCCAATAAGCAATAACATCCCAATAAGCAATAACATCCCAGTAAGTATAAATTCAACTATTTTAAATCAATTGTTTGAATAGCCAAATTAAAAGTTGTACGAGTGACAAAATCATTCAATAATATTCACATTTTGTCATTTATATTATGTGTCAACTATCAAAGTCGCACTGTTAAGTATATTAAAATATACTTTTCATAAGATTAGATGTAAGATATAATTGTACGAAGGTAACTGAGGAACGACGATGTGTAAGACAATAAATCATACATACAGTGAAAAACGCTCTTTTTGTAGCACATCCTACATGTACATATCGGCAGCATTTTCCTTGCGATAGTAACTCCTAGTTTAAAATTATACTGCAAACATAAAACTAGAACTAGAAGTTACTATCGCAAGGAAAGTGCTGCCTCATCCCCAAGGGATTAATGGCAGAATGCACAATTTGCTGAATAAGAGGCTGTTTATATGATCCCGCTATTACGACGCACTAGTGGTCTGTAACATTCCAACTTTGCATTCAAGACGTGAACAACTGTGCCCGTCATTCTTTAAGAATAAAGTTGTCCCGGAGTCTAGTCTCGCTATCAGGTCTGGTAAAGATCGCTGCAATTCCTAATTAAGATCTACGTGCCCCAAAGAAACTTGCACCAATCAAATGCACAACAAACCAAAACTCTTTTATTCCGTCGTCTGTCGAACGTTTTAATAATTCTTAGTACCTAGCTAGGCTTCAGACTCTTATCAAAGTTTAACCGTTTTTAGTCGTAGGTTACATATCCATAATTAACAGATATGAGAATTTTTAATATTTTTATAATAATTATTCGTATTTTACATGTAATAGTTAAGCATACAGTTATGTTTATGGATGTATTTCAACCGTTTAAGGTTGTAAAATCCACATTTTAATAATAACAATAATTCTAACATTATTCTCATGATGTTTTTATATCATTATATCAAACTAAAACCACTCCCAAATACATAAAGAATACATAAAGGAAACTAAGTAAGTTATACTTTAAAATTTAAAGTAAATTTTTAATGCAAAATATAATAAAATTAAAAAATAAATAAATAACCAGACAGAGCCTGGGCCACCTGTGGTTTTATATGACAGGGCTCGAAATAATGTTTCCAACGTTCCCGATCATGGTGATCAGCAGTCATGATTTTCTGCTGATCAAATGAAAATCTGGCCGCAGGATAGGTTCTGTTTATATGTTCTGTTTATATGTTCTGTGATAATGCTGTAGTATTGCATGGTGTTCATAACAACATTAACTTACCATGCTTTTGAGACAATGATTCTTGCCGATCAAGATGATCGGCAACCTTGCTTCTCTGCAGATCAAAAGAAACTCCTGCCGACCATTAATCGTTGATCGGCCGTTATTTCGTGCCCTGATATGAATACCTTCAATGCTTACAACTTCTTGCTTTTGTATGTATAATTATAGTTCTGTCAGTGGTGAAGCTAGCCATAGCAACAGGTCATGCCATGCAAGTATTTAAGCTTCCCACTGAATACTGTACAATAATTATCATATATTTATATATAGTACATAAATGATAATACTTGAATGAATCATTAGACATGTAGAATTTAATAACAATTTCATGTATAGAAATACTATAATACAAAACTACCTCTATCACAGAACAACTGACATTTTTGTTTACTACATCAGCTTCAGATGACACCATTAATTTGTAATGATTAAGATTGTACTCAGTCAGAACTTCAGAACTATATAATAAGAAAGAAATTGTGAGCATTATCGAAAAATATAGTATACCCTAAACAGAAGTGACACAGCTAGCTAGGTTAAAATTAAATATATTATGTAAGCCGATAGGATTATTTCATATTTAATAATGCTGACAATGGCAATGGGTATCTCAGAGATATATCTTTACACACTGCCATACCTTGTACAAAAGTCGGTTGACATGCTATTACATGTATCTGCTAGTGAGTTAATATGTGCAGACAACCATGGGCAGATTTACTGGGGGGGGGGGGGAGCTAGTTGAGGTTAACCCCTCTCTAACCCCAAGGTGTTATAAAGTGTTCAACCCCACCAACCCGTCGCTTCACCCCTCTTACTTAGTGTGAAAGTCTTTAACCCTAACCCTTGCTGAAGTTCGGTGGTGCTGCTTGCACCCCACCAGAAAATATTTTGCCACCCTCCTTTTATAAAATGAAAATCCGCCCTTGCAGACAACAATCCATACAGGATTGCATGCTATACTATAGTATACGGATAACTTTATATGAAATATTAATAAGCCTGATCATTAAGCCCTGCTACTCAACATTCCACGTTTGTTTTTAAAACGTGCTGAAAGCACATTGCTATGTACATGTAATAAACACTATAATTAAACTATCGCCTTTGGACATCACCACACAAACAAATAAACTAAAAGTATAGATTTTGACTACTTGTATAAAGGCGATCAGTGCAGGGACAGCGTAAATTCTGAAATTTATGATATAAAATTCATGCTGAATCTAAATTCATGAAATCATAGTGTTCTAAATATAAATGCCTTCATGTAAATAATATTACCAAAAGAAATAAAGCTATCCTTACCTGAATTATTGAAAATATTGTCCATGTTGTGCATCATGAAAATGTAAATAAGCTCGTACTGTCGTACAGTGCATTTGCGCAAGACCAAAAAAGTTTGACCGCCCCCCTCGTTTAAAAAAACTTCTTGAATCCTTAAGAGGCTGTCTCCGTAAAAACCTCCAGGTCAGTATGGGGCTCAAAAATAGATTTCTCTCATACTCTAGTATTTTGAAGATCTATCCTTGGGAACAACTAAAATCGATGTCATTTTACTCAAATTTCCTTTAAATTATTTTTGGGGGCGATTGATGTTCGATCGACTGGTAACCAACTTGATACTCCGAATGAAGGCCAAATATCGACATATTTTCAGCGCCATTTTTAAAATCAAATTCATACCTAAATTTCAAAATTTTTGCTCAGAAATATAGACTTATCCTTCTATTTTCGCGGGTGATATGACTTAGATCATATTTGCATAACAGAACGCAATACTGCAGGGTGAACAGTGCAACATCGTCCACCAGGAAAATACGTTGTGGGGTTCCCCAGGGATCGAACCTTGGTCCCCTTTTGTTTTTATTATACGTCAATGACCTGCCAAATTGCTTGGATAAATCCTGTCCGGCAATGTATGCAGATGATACAAATCTTATAGTATGTTCAGATAGCATTAATAATTTGGAGGAAGCACTAAATTCTGAAATGAAAAATATTCACCAGTGGCTTCTTTCAAACAAGCTAACTTTAAACATTGAAAAAACAGAATACATGATCATTGGAACCCGTCAAAGATTAGCTAAAATTCAAAAAAATACTAGCGTATCATGCGGGGGGAAACTATTGAAACAGGTTTATTCCAAAAAGACTTTAGGTGTACTGATTGATGACAATCTATGTTGGAATGAGCAAATCGACAACATCAGTAAAAAGGTATCGAAGGGCATTGGTATGCTGCGCCGTGCAAAGCCATTTGTCTCTCTTGAAACTCTTAAATATATTTATCAGGCTTTAATGCAACCGAGTTTTGATTACTGCTCCATGGTTTGGGGAAACTGTGGCGAAGGTTCAAAAGAAAAGCTACAGAGACTACAAAACCGTGCAGCTAGAGTAATCACAGGTGATACCTATGAAATTCGCTCCACGGATATTTTAAAGAAATTAAATTGGAGAACACTCGAAGAGAGAAGAAAGGAGCAAAAATTAGCATATGTGGCCAAAGCCCTTTCAAACCAATGTCCTGAAAACGTTTCAACTATGTTTAAAATCTCAAATTCTGATAAATATAATTTAAGAAGTAATAACAAGATGCTGATGTTGTCGAAGCCTAAAACAAATTCAATGAAAAGGACATTCGGATATGCTGCTGCTAAAGACTGGAACTATAATAGTAAAAATTTTATATCTACTTAATTCATTTGTAATATATATACTTAACGTATCACTTCGACCCAAACATTTCTTAGTATCTTTTAATATTTTTATAATAGTTTATATAATAGTATTTCGAGTTCTGTATTTAATAACACGGCCTAATGAAAAACAACCTTTATAATTTTTGTAAATACTGATAGGTAATATGGTTGATTAGTTACCGTGTATAAAGATGTTATAATAATAATAATAATAATAATAATAGTGTTTTTTTTTACACCATGTATGTCATGTATATTTTTGCTGCTGGTAATTAAAAATTCAATTCAATTGTGTTTTCGCGAGTGTATCTAAAAGTCGAGGGTCGAGAGTAAAGGTCGAGAGTAAAAGTCGAGAGTAAAAGTCGAGAGTCGAGAGTAAAAGTCGAGAGTAAAAGTCGAGAGTAAAAAGTCGAGAGTAAAAAGTCGAGAGTAAAAAGTCGAGAGTAAAAAGTCGAGAGTAAAAAGTCGAGAGTCGATCGAGAGTAAAAAGTCGAGAGTCGATCGAGAGTAAAAAGTCGAGAGTCGGCAAATGTCATCAGAAACAACAAAGTCAAAATACTTTTAACACAATATATAACCGATCCGTAACAATGGCTGATTATAGCCGTACGGGCGAGGGGGAGGGGGAGGCAGTCCCGCCCCCCAGTCAAAATAAAGTCATGCAAATCATAAACGTATAAATTCGGGCAAAAATTGGGGGAAATAAATTTAAAAAGAAGACAGTACATGCAATATGGTATTTGAAAATACCAGAAATATGTAAAAGTAACGAGGAATCGACAAATAGGAAAATATTTTTATCTACTTCCCAAAGACAATTTTGGAAATTTAGTTACACGGAAAATTTTATTCAGTGGGTAAAAGTCGGGTAAATTTCTTTTTGGCTCCCTACCTGATTTTTTCCCGCCCGTACGCCTATGACGGCTGAACTAATTTCATTTCCCGTGTATCGGAACATAAAGCAAACAGTATTTGCGAAACATAATTTAGTAAGCTCAAATTCTCGAAATTAAAGTAAACAAGAGGCATATACAATCAAAGGAATAATCCAGTATAATATAAAACAAAAACTTTCGCAAAAATTTAGCCACAACATTCAATAATAATAACTATTATCTAATAACTAGTTTTATCGCTTCCTTATATATTACTGTCCATCCTTCCCGCTTTTATATGCACCTATTTCCGCGAAAATTACTCATATGTGAAGCTACATATAAATAGTAGGACTTTACAATCACGTGCGGGACATATTACCACCCGATAGAGTCACACATACGACAAAAGAATCCTATTTTTACTGGCTCGTATTTATGAATTCACAATTGTATGAATCGTAAGATTGTGATCAACGTGGATTTCTTAATACGCTCTCGTTTGATACTTACGTTAATGAATAAGTGACATTTTTGTTACAAGCCTGGAGATGGCTGTCAAAATTCATCGAAGTTTATGTGTATGTCAGTTAATAGAATGAAATGACATGTGAAAACATTTAGCAAGATTGAGGCAACAAATGCGATATTATTTTCTTATCCAATCTTTTTTGTTTTTGTTATCACGTTATTATTATTGACAGTGGCGGAAGTCTTGGTGGGGCGGGGGGCCACCGCCCCTTCCCCACCTTCCGAAAAAATTGACGAATTTTCGGAAATTTTGATCTAAAAGAGGGCTAAAAACAGTCTTTTCGAGTGCAAATGGGGGAGGGGGTGCGTCGGAAATTTCAAAGTTTTGTCGGAAATTTAGGAGGCTTTGCCCCCCCCCCCCACACCGGAAAAAGTGAATTTCCGCCACTGATTATTGACTGTTGTAGCAATATTTATTGGAAAGTTTGTATTTCAGCCGTTGGTACTTGTTACGGAATGGCTATGTAAAGCTATATATATAGATTGTGTTAAACGTGGTTAAAAAATAAAAATATTTTGACTTTCTTGTTTCTGATGACATTTGTCGACTCTCGACTTTTTACTCTCGACTCTCGACCTATGAGACACGACTCTGTTTTCGCACTCTTGTGGTCATTTTAAAGCTCTGGATGACCTCAACGAATGAACTGGATAGATATGAAAAGTTCGAAATTTGTATAGCTCTGCAGCCTCGTACCCAGGCGCAAATAACGTACTAAAAATAGCAACACTACAGTGTTTTTATATAGATCAGTGGCTAAGATGAGTGAGCGCGCGGGGGTGCTAGGTCAACACACGACGGGTTCTGCTGCGCCTGGCAGAAAATGTAAATATGACTCTCCAGAAATACGATATCTGGAGAGTCGAACCATTCAGCTTTTTACTCGTGCCTTTTCAATTATTTTTGGCGTTTTTGGTGCTGAATATTATATTTATATGTGCTTATGGATGACCTGTAACAATCGCTGAAGGAATTATCAAGGAATTATCAAGAAATGAGTGTTAGAGGTGAGTTTTTGTATTGGTTTGCCTTGAGATTTCATTATTCTCTGTATATTATGTGTGCATCATTGTATTGAAAAAGTTTTATTTATAAATACAACTAACACACGTGTTTATTTTATGAATATAATTTGCATAAATAATTTACTTCCGTCTGATTTTCAGCCATTTTTTTTTGAGAAACAACAGTTACTGCTCAGAGCAGTCTGAGCAGTCACTATTGCCTCAGAGTTACTGCTGAGGGAGCCAATCAGAATGCTGAAAGGCCATTTTTCTGAAACAATGAAATTATACTGAATTCACATAGTCTGTCAGCCTTAATCTGGATGAAAGTGCATAGAGTTGACAGTCACGCGAGCTTGGTTAGCTGTTCCTTAATGCTTTCCCAACACTATCATGTATTGTATTGAAGTTAAAACATAGTTGGAACATTCACCAAACCTTTATTTTGTTAATCTAGAGCTTGAAATGTCCCCTGTAACAATGTGTGACTACCAACTCTCATCCTCTTTTAACCAAGGCATAAAGCTTTTTATTGCTGTTCTAAAACTAAAACTTGATCAAACAATCGTATAGGATGAGAAACAAGAAGTTGAGAATGAAGATACTTGGTGTGATGACGCTCATGAGTGGGGAGAGTAAGTTTCTTTGACATTTGTTCGTTGTGTTTGAGATTCTTTCTTACTGAACCCCTAGGGAAAACGGATAAGTGAGATATCATTGACTCGACAGCTCAATGGGTAGAGTAGAGTAACGAAACTAGTAAATCCGGTAGAACTAGTTTAATTCTTGTCTTTTTTGTCTTTAACACAGGGAAGAAACATCGGAGGAAGCTACCACAATCAGCAAACTAAAACATCTGGAAGAACAGGCTAGAAATTTAAACCTCAATGAAGACCTTAACAATGAACAATCTTCAGAAACCTATAACAACCACATGTCAATTTCACAAGACTGTACATTGGGGCTGCAATGGCCAAATCTGATTTATTTTGTTCCCTACTATATAAATGTGCTAGAAGAGTCACACTTTATCTCCAAAGAGAAACAGTTGAGTCGGGCAGAACAGACGTTACTGAATGAATATGCAGCAACAGAAGGCTTACAAGATATTGATGAGATGCTGGATGTCAACACAGGAGGGGAATGGGGCGGGGAAAAGTATGAAATGGGTGTAGCAAAGCATGGGGACAAGATTTTCCACAAGTTTAAGAAGCAGCTCAGTTTGTGTCCAAAGCAATGTTTAAGGTACGGAAGATGAATTATGGTGGTCAACCTGCTGTTAAACGCAAGAACTCACAAATGTCAGAACTCCCTTTTCAAACGCAAAAACTCCCTTTTCAAATGGCAGAACTCCCTTTTCAAATGACAAAACTCCCTTTTCAAATGGCAGAACTCCCTTTTCAAATGGCAGAACTCCCTTTTCAAATGGCAGAACTCCCTTTTCAAATGGCAAAAACTCCCTTTTCAAATGGCAGATCTCCCTTTTCAAATGCCAGAACTTCCTTTTCAAATAGCAAAACTCCCTTTTCAAATGGCAAAACTTCCTTTTCAAATAGCAGAACTCCCTTTTCAAATGGCAAAACTCCCTTTTCAAATAGCAAAACTCCCTTTTCAAATAGCAAAACTCCCTTTTCAAATGGCAGAACTCGCAGAAAGGTACGAATTTGACCTGGCAACTCCGCATTCTTGGAAGACATCCGTTGACCGGTCGTTATTTCGCGCCCGGAGTTTGAGTGAGAAAATAATGTTAACTTTTTTCATTATTTCTAGTATTTGGAGACAAATAGAGACTTGCAAATTAGTTTGCCGGCTACTGCAAATGTCAACATTTCTGTAGCTGACCATGATCTCACTGCGCCATAATAACACTTACTGAAACTTATCAATAGAAACACAAACTGTCAGTAACAAATGAAATCATCTTTACTTTTAGGTACAGTCGGAATGGAGAGCCGCTACGTATGACGTCACAAGGTTTAGGAACAATCCCAACATGCAATTCATGCGGAGAAAAAAGAGTATTCGAACTTCAATTGATGCCTCCGCTGGTATCACTGTTAAAAATTGATGAGAAAAGACACAAAACAACTTCTTTGAACGATAACAAAGATAATACTGACACTCAGAAAACAGATTTTAAAAAATTAAGTTCGCAGTGTATTGAGTTTGGGACAGTTTTTGTTTACACTTGTTCTCAGGGATGTTGGTCGGAGGATGATGTGATGTTTCGGGAGGAACATGTGATAGTTCATGGTGACCCTGACCAACATCTTTTTAAGAATGCGAAATAATAAAAATACGATAATAAATGATTACAAACAAACACATGTGTATAGGTTTATAATTTCCAAAACTACGAGCAGGCATTAGTCTACGAATTGCTAGATTTCAGGAAGCGTTAAAGTGCCTATATCATGGTTTTGGAGTTTGCATATCTCGAAAGTTTAGGGCATTTTAAGACACTTTGCAATATATTTTGTTGCTGAAAAATTTCATCTTGATGGATTTATTAGCTCTTAAAGTTACCGGACGTCATGTCAAAAGGAGAATTTTGTTGCAACGATACAAAGGAAAACTGATTTGCAATTCTCCTTTTGACGTCATGACCGGTAACTTTAATCCATTAAGATGAAATTTTTCAGCAACAAAATATATTGCAAAGTGTCTTTTTCGAGATATGCAAACTCCAAAACCCTGATATAGGCACTTTAAGCCAGTTTTCCACTTCAATCGTACCGAAACGTAACGTATTTCTTTGTTTCCTGAGCGGTAGAGTGGAACTGCTGACTTTGACACAAAAGAAAATGCTACGGTACGTTACGATTGAAGTGGAAAACAGGCTTTACATGCAGGACGACAGATGGTAGTCAACTTGAGGAAGACCGATACTTAGGGATGTTCAGATAAACCGGGCCAGCCCAGCCATGAAGCAATATTTCAAATTCACCAATTCGGACTGGACTAGATTTCAAGTGCACGCAATTTGATCACGCCCAAGGCGAAGTCGAGGACTGGATCAAAATGAAGGAATTGAAATCTAGTCCAGTCCGAAATGGAGGATTTGAAATGACATCATCACTACTTAAAGTGAGGTGAATTAATTTTGATCTAGTCCAAGGACTGCATCAATATACTAGGTATCCAGTATTATCATGTGAACAAAATAAAGAAATATGGTTTCAGATTCGTCTTACGAAAATGTTTTCTTGACGATGAAAGATCGTTTGAATGAACTGGAATCAAACTACGCCAAGTCGAATTTCATACTCTGATAACTGCAGCCTGCGAACAGGCTCACTGAATTTCAAAGAGAGTTCAAAGAGAGCCTGTTCGCAGGCTATGATAACTGCAGGTTGACCACCATCCACGATAATGCTTAGTGAAACCTGGCTATTACTGGACTACTAAATTCATCATCAAATAAACTTCAATTACTAAATATATTTTTATTTCTTACTCTTGCCCCTACCTTTGCCCGTTTCCTTGCCCCGGGCCTGTTTCGTGTCAGATGTTGCACGAGCTTTGCCTGATTTCTTCGCCCCAGTTTTCCCGCCTTTTTTCACTTTGAAGTTCTCTCCGATATCGCCATCACTGTCGTCATCACTAACTTCTGGTGCTTTACCAGTACCCAGTCCCTCGGTTTTCACATCAGGCGCGGTCGCTTTAGGCTTCTTTTTTGCCCCGACATTTGAGGCGTACGGCGTGACATGTGATCCTTTGTTGTATGTACGAGTGAAGGCTGCCTTTACCTGAAATACAATATGGTATTCTTGCTGTAGTAACACTGGATCAATAAGAGATGATCCTTACTGGACCTCTAGGGAGAACATTTTAGAACTGATAGAGCTATCCAGTATAAATAAAGTTAGTTTAGTTTAGGTTTCCTCCTGTAGTAACACTAGATCAATAAGAGATGATCCTTACTGGACCTCTAGGGAGAACAGTTTAGAACTGATAGAGCTATCCAGTATAAATAAAGTTAGTTTAGGTTTCCTCCTGTAGTAACACTAGATCAATAAGAGATGATCCTTACTGGACCTCTAGGGAGAACATTTTAGAACTGATAGAGCTATCCAGTATAAATGAAGTTAGTTTAGTTTACGTTTCCTCCTGTAGTAACACTGGATCAATAAGAGATGATCCTTACTGGACCTCTAGGGAGAACAGTTTAGGACTGATAGAGCTATCCAACAAAAATAGAGTTAGTTCCACCCACTTTGGAATCAATGTCTCCCTGAAGTTTGCGTTTTCCATCAAAATGGCCAACATCCATAATACTCTGCCAATCTTCTTTTACAAAATTATAGCTGTCCACCACCTCAATCACTTCAGAAACTTTTGACGAACAATCCTCGGTGGTCTTGAAGAGAGAAAACAGAAGCAAACGATAGAGCGCAAATATGGGTGACATGCGGCAAGAATGCCCCTCCAGTTTGACTCTTGGAGGCTTGCTCTAGATTAGGGATGCACCGGAACCGGTTTTTTAAGTTCCGGCCGGAACCGGATCCAACCGGAACTGGAAAAAAGTTCCGGCCGGAACCGGAACTAATTTATTAAGCCATATATAGTCATATGTTACTTTGTCCGCTGCCAGACAAGCAGACACTTCAAATCATCAAGTAGAGAGTTCGCAAATGTCAGAATAAAAAGACTGACAAACGTTAAACGTCATAATGAAGTGTTAATAGTGTACATTTCCCTTGCGTAGTCCAACTTTCTTCCTACTGTGACCTTTTGTTAGACACAAAAACGTTTGATATTCTATCTCCCTGAAAACGACAGAGTTCCGGTTCCGGCCATGTTTTTTTTACTAGTTCCGGCCGGAACCGGAACTCTAAAAAATCGGGGTTCCGGCCGGAACTAACCGGCCGGAACCGAGTTCCGGTGCACCCCTACTCTAGATCATGTACAACAGGAATGGATTTACTGGGGGGTACGGGGAGCACCAGAGGCCAGAGGCCAGAGGTGCTATTTTTCATGATAAAGTAAAAAATTATTAATGACAAAATGAGATACAGTAATTTGAGTAATAACATGATGATAAGCGAACTGTGAACAACAATTACAATTCAAATACAGTAGTCAAGCAAGATTTTGCAGTGGTGAAGCAAGTTGATGGGTACCAGAGCTGGCCGAGAACCCCCCCCCCCCCTACCAGATCACGCTGGATCCATCCCTGATGTACAAAGAGGAACAGTTTAGAAATAAGATTGTGCACACTTACAGCATTCATCAATGGTTTACTGAGAACATTTCTTAAATGTGGAATATAATCCAAGTTCAATTCATTCTTACAACCTGAAATACTACAAAATATATACAGTAAGCAAAATATAAAGTGTGGCCTCTTCGTTTCGAGAAGCATCGAAATGTCGTTGTAATAAAATAAAATTAATATCGCTATCATTTGTTTCAAAGTTGCTATTATTATTATCAGTGTCATTTATAATCTCCATGTGGCTAGGACCATGGCGTCAGCATTTTGATGACGAATCATGGCGTGGCGGCGTTTACGCTTTCTGCGTGTCTTTATTCTGTGGTTTGGGTTCTTCGCTTCCGCCAATCAGAATCATACCTGAGTTGTGCATGGCTCACAAGTTCTTGCAAAATTCTTGAATTCTTTGTGGTTGTGGAATTTTTGCCAAGCCAGCAAGGAAAGTCAATTCTCTGACTCATTCGCCCTCGCATTACTGTGCCAGGATACACGCATGAGAAAAATGCCTAAAAATAATACCAAAAATATTCCCATGGTTTTGGCAAACAAAAGGCGCCATGACGTGAAATAAATGTCTAACAATATGCCGTGCGCACGAGCAACAAAGGAAAAACATGTTCGTCTGTGCGGGCTCTTAAATACAATAGGAAGTTCTGGTTTAAAGACACAGTTCGGCATTTTGATTGATGGTTTTTAAAGCGCATTTCAGCCCTTTTAATTGAAAAAATTAGTGTATCATTCAAGAGTGCCTTTAATGTTCTTGCTTCAAGAAGTGTCGAAATTATTTTCCGACTTTGGTTGCGTTTCCCAAGTAATCATTAATTTATTAGCGATTCCCAGCAGGCTTTCGCGCTCGTACTCGACTTTTCCGCTTTGCTCGGGGGACAACCTTAATTGAAATAGCTGTAAACGTCTGCTGTAACCCACCAAGTAAAAAGAAATAATAAACTAGAAATAAGCTCTGCCGAGTACCTGCAATGGTAATAAATTCCAACTGCCATTACTCCTTATAGATTTCTCAACCAGATCAGAATTACAGAAAGACTCAGCAGCCTCACTGACACACTTGAGAGTTTTCTTCATCTCGCCTCTAAATATTGCGTGTAGATCAAGATTTTAACAAACCACAAAACAATAGGCACTCAAAAAATTGTAAATTTATTTAAATGTATTTTCTTTTCGTTTTGACTATAATTCATGTTGACTTCTAGTCAAAACTGACGTAAAGAAAGAAAATGTTTACAATTTTTGGAGTGTCTATTGTTATGTGTTTTATTAAAATATTTTGTGGCAACCGCAATTCTTCAAGATTAGAGATTGCAGAGCAATGGACTTGGTTAGTTAAGCCGGATTCCCAACTTACAAGAAAAATTTTGCTGTCGAAATATTTCGCTCAATTTCTTTTGAATTGTGAGCGGTGAAGTAGAATTGATGTATTCGGAAATGTATTCGGATGGTCAGAATCGAAAAGAAATCCAGCAAAATATTTCGAGGACCACATAATTCTCTGTGAGTGGAAATCCATCTTAACTATAAAAAAGAAAAATCTGGCTTACCTTGCACTATAAGGCACAACGTGCAAGTAGTTTTCTTGCGAGAACAACGGGATTATTGAGTAATCATTGAAGAATAATGAAAATTGATCTTGAATTTTCATTTTCGAACTTTCTTCCGCACTGAAGATCTTACGCGTCACATCGAACGGTCCTATTTTTATATCTTTATGTGCCCTGTCTGCATCAGCTTTTGCCTCATCGTATGACATTGATTTCCTCTTTGAAGTCCACATTGAGAGATTATGCAGTACCTGAATAATTACAGATACATACTGATAAAGTTATCCAGTATAAATAAAGTTAGTTTAGCTTAGGTTTCCTCCTGTAGTAACACTGGATATAAGAGATGATCCTAACTGGACCTCTAGGAAGAACAGTTCAGAACTAGCCTACTTACCTGTCTAACGTCTTGATTGGCGCCGACAACTATTTTCTCCATTGCTTGCGGTGAGATTGTCAAACGTTCTTTGCATGCGATACTCATCATGGCTCCCTACAAAACAATTCCAATTCAAAACCTCTTATTATTTTGGCACAATGCTTGGTGCATTTGCTTTTCGCGAACAGATAGAGCTATCCTCCTGTAGTAACACTGGATCAATAAGAGATGATCCTTACTGGACCTCTATAAGAAGAACAGTTTAGAACTGATAGAGCTATCCAGTATAAATAAAGTTAGTTTAGTTTAGGTTTCCTCCTGTAGTAACACTGGATCAATAAGAGATGATCCTTACTGGACCTCTATAAGGAGAACAGTTTAGAACTGATAGAGCTATCCAGTATAAATAAAGTTAGTTTAGTTTAGGTTTCCTCCTGTAGTAACACTGGATCAATAAGAGATGATCCTTACTGAACCTCTAGGGAGAACAGTTTAGAACTGATAGAGCCATCCAGTATACATAACGTTGCAGCATCATACCTTCATTTGGTCAATTTTGGGTCTATAGAAACGCAGATCAAAACAGTAGTTGGCAAGACTCCTGACTTTCTGACTGTTTCTATCATTGCACATGCATACGATCGGGATCTTGGTGGATTTAATCAAGTTAATAAGTTCTTGCATCCCGCCTCTGTCTTCATTACCAGCCATTCCATCAACCTCGTCCATGATCAGAACATGTTTTGTAGTAGAGTCTGCCTTTGGCCCTATGGAAGAAAACAACCAGTTTGCTACTCCTTGCTAGCCATGGGGTTCGATTCCCACCGAGGGCAAGCAAACATTCCAGCTTGCCCGGTGTGGAGACGCTGAGAGGAATATGGGAAAAAAGTGAATATAACATGTTCTGTTCGTGATGTTAAGGCTCATTTCCACTCAAGAAAAATTTCCATGGACAGAAAACTTTCCAAAAATATCGTTGTTAAAAGGAGAAAATTTTCAACTTCAAGATTTTTTTTCCAACTGGGAATTTGTGTCGACCAATCACATTTTACAAATTTTTCTTTCTGCGGAAAATGTTCCTGAGTGGAAATGAGCCTTAACTCTGAGTGTATATCCACACCGGGCAAACTTGAAAATATGCCTGGCCACGGTGGGAATCGAACCTACTGGGCTACGCAGTCAGGTCGGTTCGAGTATGTAATATTTCGGAACTGAGTCTAGTTCCTATTGCATTGATATCGAAGGAACTAGACTCAGTTCCGAAATATCACATACTCGAACCGACCTGACCGCGTATATCAGTTGGCAGAGCATTTGGCTAGTATTCCAAAGGTCGTAGGTTCGATTCCCACCGTGACCAGGCATATTTTTCCAGCTTGCCCGGTGTGGATATACACTCAAAGTAACATCACAAACATCATAATCACCTGAGTACATAACACCAACACGGAAAAAAATCATAACGTGTTCATTCAAACCTGTGGGGCGAAAATATCCATCCATAGTCTTGTTGTCTAGTAATTCCGATATCTGTTTTAAATGCATGATTGGGTTTTATAGAGAACATGAACTTCTCCCAAGTTCATGGGGGGAGTGTGTTGGAGACAGGTCAAGTTTTATTATCTCATAGTTAATATTAGTTATTTAGTTAATTAGACGATCTTTAATCATATAGTTAGATGAGTGACGGCTGTCACTAGGTGAGAGAGAACTGAGACAAAACTGATAATATAGAATAGAGAGAGACGGGACATATAGCAAGACCGAGACGTGGGTGATGTAATATACTGTGATTGAGAGAATATAATTAATTTATAAAACTTTGTTGTGATCTTTGGTGGACTACAATTCTAACCAACGGAGGCAGAATATCCACTAAATACGTATGAAAAACGCAACAGTGGAAATCAGCCTTAAAGATCTACGACGCAGACGGCTCAACGACGCGGTCTGAATTTCAGCTAAAAAATGAATGCTAAGCAATTTCATTACTGTGCATGACAAAGCCGTTGAGAATACCCCTCAAACCACGACAAATTTATTCACAGTTTTTGTCTTGCATGACAGATTTCTTTCCTTCGCAAGCGCGTCGTTGAGCCGGCCGCGTCGTAGATGTTAAATTACCTGATTGGAACCAAGAACCTGATTGGCTGTTCGAAATTAGAATTGTAAACATGCAAAACTATGTAGGTGCGGTCGTAGACGTTTGTGCGAGTGGCCGATATACCATAGACTTTGCAATTCAGTTCGGTTGTTGACTCTTATACAGTGGTTCGGTTGACATCAGAATATATGGAAGGTATGTACTGAATATTTTCTTTCTTTGCTAAGATTTTAGTCCGCATTTATATCTGCTCAAAACTTTGGAAACTAAAATGGGTGTTGATCCAGATGAGATTTATGGGGAAAATAAAGTGTATAAGCAAGCTGTCGGGAAGATTGCTTTGTTGTTTTTCGTTGATCTTTATCCGCTACTTAATAAATCTCGCGCTACAATTAAAAGTAGTTGCAGATTGAGACTCTATAAATAAAGGACAAATCTGGGGCAGATCATTAATGAAGTATGGACTAATAGCGGCTGCTCAAGCGCCATTTGTAAGCGCAAAGTCTACCTCGGTCTGCTTCACGTCATGCAGTCCGGTTTTATCTATCTATTCATAATGTAACCAGTCACTGAAAAGCCCTGATGGGGAGTGTGCTGTGAGATATCTGTTATTAATGTCACTATACCTATACGCTAGTACAGACATTTCGAATTTTTATACTCACTCAATACAATTCTGCTTGACACATCCGAGATCAGCCATTATTTAAGTTTTACTTTATATCATAGCTTCTTTACAGGGTTTTTCTACAAGATCTAAATCAATTTATTACAACTAGAATTAAGTAGGCACAGTTGAAAACAAAATAGTTCGGGTTGAAATTTACCCTGATCATGATTCTGGGCTGGGTTGTATAAAAAGGTAGTCAATGTTATAAATAACCAAAAAAAATAGGTTATTTGAGTTGGTCTAGGACAACCGGTTAAAAATAGGTTATTTAAATACGTGGAAATAACTTAATTAAATAGGTTAAAACAAACCATTTCTAGTGGGTTATTTTAACCTGTAATATAGTTAATTGTACTTATTTAAAATATGTTATTATAACATTTATTTTTAGGTTAAAACAACCTAAATTTAAATAGTTAAATTTGCTCAGAGATATAGGTTATTTTTGCCAAATCAATATAGCTTGTTTTTACTTCTATAAATAATGAATGGTAAAGGCCATGAGTCTAAACCAGCCCTTTAAAATAGGTTACATGCGGTTGATCTAACCTAAAAAAAATAGGTTAAAAGCAAATAGGTTAAAATCAAATAGATTAAAATCAAAATTTGAGTCAAAATCAAATTAGTAATTAGTAAATATTAAACAATTTCAGTACTTTGATAAAAATCCAAGGTGCAACAATTGCAACAATCTCCTGGAGACAATATATCCTGCATGTACAATACATGCATTAAATTAGTGATACAATATCATTATTATCATACAGTAAATTCCATTAGCATACAGTAAACTGTTCTATTTAATGTGTTCATTTACATTTAGCTTAGGAAGTTCTCCACATCAATTGGTAAAGTATGGCAATTGTTACCCCAAAGAACATGTTCTAAATTACTAAAATATGTAAATGTTTTTACTATGACCTGTTGGCCCCTTCTGGGTACTGCATGTTAAAACGGACAGTAGTACCCTGCAAGAAAACATGCCACTGCGTTGGTAAAATTGCACATATTGTATCAGAATTTTTTACAACCATTCCCTCTGCAATCAATGAAACAGAACTTATCTCTTCCAGAGGTCCGCTGGCCAATAGATGCGGGGTTGAGCATCCTGATATTACAAAAAGATCAAACATTGAATAAATTTCTATTCAGATTAACCCATTGAGTGGCGATGCACCCTGATGCAGCCTACTTTAGTATTCTACTCTGTCTAACGCCAGACAATTTTACTCGTCAAGGGGAGAGCGCTGGTGCTTAGTGGGTTAACTGGCCTATCTGCCCATGTGTCTAGTTAACCCATTGAGTGGCAATGCACCCTGATGCAGCCTACTTTAGTATTTTACTCTGTCTAATGCCGGACGATTTTACTTGTCAAGGGGAGAGCGCTGGCGCTTAGTGGGTTAAAATACACATAGATACAGCAGTTAAGTTCTATAATCAGGGTCTGAAATTTGCTCAAATGGAACATTTCAAATATATTCAACATAACTATAAAATTATTTTCAGTTAAATCTAGCATTAGTGTTACACTGTAAATCAGTATCCCAATATCCACAGGATCAGTGGTGGATCCAGCTGTAGTAGCAGAGTGTATGAACATACACTTTATTAATATCAACAACAATATAAACAATACATGAACAATAAACGAATCAAATATAGTTTTCTGCTACGACATTATCCTAAACCAGTTCTTGCTGTATGTATCAGGGTCTGTGTACACAATGCCAGATTTTCCCTTGAACATGCCTTGCTGTGCCAATTTGTAATTTTCGGTGGTGAATAATTGGCTACAAAATAAAAATTGGGATTATTCTGCAGTCCAAGTTAATTAGTAGATAATCCTACCATTACCCAAAAACCTTAAATGGCCTGACTCATTATTTTTATTAACTCATGGCCTGACTCATTATTTTTATATACACTAATATTTTTTAAATTTTCTTCTCAGTCACAACAAGAGCTACCTTTGTCTTTGAGAAATACCTGGTCGCTGGATAAAACAATTGGTCACAATTGTGCACCTTGTCATTTCTACGGCTGCACAACATAGAACGTTTTGCAGCTATTCGGTTTGATTTTGTGTCAGATATGTTGGACGATATCTGGCCAAATAACTGATACTGTTGATAAAAGATTTAAACTTTCATTTAAGATAAATAATTATTTTAATTGGTTATAAAATGAGGGCGTTTATAATACTTTGATTTGAAAAGATACTTGAAATCATAGGAAAGAACTTCACTCTAAACACGGTATTTACAAAAGCCTTGCTCACAAAGTTGAAATGAAAAATCCGGTATTTGCCAATATACTGGAGAAGATTATCTTAATGCCTGGTCCGGGTATGAAATATGTAGTATGTATGAAATACGTAGGCCTGTAGACATATTTCATTTCAAACATTTGTCCAAGCACATGTTCATTTTGTAAGAATCCCATATTATTGGTGCCATGAAACATTTTCAGAGGATCTCTTAATATATATAGCAATATTTAATGACAGGTGCTTACATGATTATTCAGCCAAGTTTGAGCTGCCCAGGCTGACATTTCAACCTGGCAGCATGTAATCGCAAATAATTCCAACCCGGGCTAAAAAACCAACTGTTTATTTGGCTTTATTTTGAGTCTTTGTTTCATCTTTAACCCATTAAGCGCCAGCGCTATCCCCTTGACAAGTAAAATCGTCTGGTGTTAGACAGAGTAAAATACTAAAGTAGGGTGCATCGCCACTCAATGGGTTAACTAGACACATTGGCAGATAGGCCAGTTAACCCATTAAGCGCCAGCGCTCTCCCCTTGATGAATAAAATCGTCTGGTGTTAGACAGAGTAAAATACTAAAGTAGGGTGCATCACCACTCAACGGGTTAAATATAATATACATTTAACCAGTCTCACAAAAGTCAAATAGTTGACTAATTAGCATCTTATCTGCTTCAAAGAAGTGTAACACACTTATTCTCATAATAAATTATTATTCTCCTATTTCATGACACTCTAGGAGCGATTTATTTTATATTTAGCAATTTCATTGAGAATTCTGCGTTTTAAAGACAGCAGTTCTATACAGACATAAGTAGAATACCCAAATGGACAATATCAAGCACGAACGAGACATAAAGTCCCATGCAAGGTGCTTACCATTCTAAAATTTTACAACACATTAAATTAGATCACAAAATACAATACAAAACAGCACAAACATGAAAGATTATTACTGAAACGTTATTTACTACATGAAACGTTATTACATGAAACGTTATTTACTATGTTCTATGACATGGACAATCACGCACTAATGACCATGTACATGGCATTTCTATGTCAAACATTGTCCCAAGCAAGTGTTTATATGTGCTTCTAATGTTTCTTTTAAATGAGGAGAGGGTGGCAAAGGTGGTAGGAGGTAGAATTTTACAGGTATAGTTCCATATTTTAACTAGTCGGTTGAAATAGGATGCTTTGAATGTGTTGGATTTACAGAGGGGAACTTTAAGGGTGAGGGAGAGATTTTGACAGAGTCGGGTCCGGTTGTTGTTGGAAAAGGAGACAAAGGTGTTAACGTTAGGTGTTATTTTTTTTTTTTAAATAAATTAGGATTAATAAGAGGCAACATCCATACCGAAAACTATGTATAACCTAAACGGAAATGATAAGCAAAGAAAACAACCGCCTTGCTAAGCGTCAATGCCAAATTGCCAATATAATCCCATTTTGCTAAGCCGACATTCTTCAGTTATCAGCAAAAGCTAGCCAAATTTTATCTCAGTTCACTCTGGTTTCAACGGTCTTCGAGACAACTCCTGGGTTTACTATAAATATACTGTAGCTCTGACTAAACTCAGACCGAGCTCAAACTGCTAATACAAATTATTGTGATGCAATTTCAGCTCATTTAACTGGCCTGTATATTGTTAAACAGTTTCTTCATGCATAATATGTGAGCCTGGGATTTCTGATAGAGGCATATAAACTATGAGAAACTCAAAAAATTTATCCTAATGTATTCAGCAACATTCAGGGTCTCAGGGATTGTCTGGATATTAAATACAAATATAGCTATTTACTGTGATAACACAATAGAGATATAAACACAAAGTCAAAGGAAGGATATTTCTCCTCTAATACAAAGCTAGAAGGCCACAGAACTTAAATCAATATTAGCTAAATGAGTCAATATACTGTATTGATACCTTCTCAATACATCAATTTAACAATATAATATTTATATTGTTATCAATGTATCGAGAGGGTATCAATATTGACACACTTAGCTAATATTGATACAATCGCCAAAGCACGTTCTATAGCTTTGTATGAGACCCCGTTCACACCATACCGGCAGAGTTTGAAAACGGAACGAAATTCTACCGTCAGAGTGCCATGTGAACGCCCAACCGTAAGAATTTCAGTACGGTTGCAAAATGAAATTATTAACAAAACTGCAAAAGTTGTTGTTGGATATTTTATTCTGTCTATTTTAACTGATTTGTACAGCATATTGTCAAAGCGGAATATAATCTGCCGGTATAGTGTGAACAGTTGAAACCGTGATGATTTTCTGCCGGCAGAATTCCATGCCGGTATCGTGTGAACGGGGTCTAACCATCCTACCTTTGTTCTGTCTACTGTATATTTCATACCTTTTTGTAGCCTGTATATACCATGATTTCGACTTGCTTAGATCATATTATGGCATTATTTATTTGCTTGAAGATATAATCTGTAAATACAAGGCAATATCACAAAGTTTTAATGTATTTTTAATACGGAGTAATAACAATATATTGTGGAATGCGGGCCATGCGGCCAACGCACGGCGGTTAAAATATACACGAATATATTACTATTTATGGGGCACGTATTTACACACGAAACTTAAAAATATTGACACACTTGAACACTTACATTTAAAATTGTTGTCTTTATCTTCAAAAATTGGAGTACTACTTCTTATTTTCTTCAATATATGTTAAGAAATCTTGGCTATATCACAGAATAGAAAGTACGACCACAGAGGAAGTATATACAGAGCAGCGTTTCCATTTTGGAAGGAAATTTCTTTCCAGAAGGAAATTTGGGCCTTTGGAAGGAAATTTGGAAGGAAATATCATTTGGAAGGAATTGGGAGGAAATATTGTTATAAGGAGGGAAATGAGAAGGAAATCTATTTTATCTCATAAGGGAAAGTACATTTATTACACCGAGGGAGGGGGATGAAGATGTCTTGAAAAAAGCTCATATTTTTACAGGGCCCCTGTTGAGGTTATCGGTAAATTTCGATGCCCCCCCCTCCAAGTTTTTAAAATTTTCAATGCCCCCCCTTTAGAATTTGGAATCGAAGGAGTACAATCCGGAATTCTCTCTTATCATATTGATACAATTTGCAGTTCCTCAAGATGTCTGATATACTCAAGTGCTTCTCCTCAACAAAACTACCGATCTGCTGCTTCTTTCATCTCACTAGCGCCAGATGAAATGGCATCGTCTTTAAAACATTTTAAATTGGCTCTAGGGGTGGAATTATCAACAGGTTGTTGTTGTCCATCATTCAGCGTATTCGCAGTCTTGAACACGTTCATGTAGTGGCCAGGATTTCCTGGATCAGGGTAATGTGCTGGAACCTTACAGTATGTTGCCCCCACCCAATGTATCTCCCGGCATCTGTTGCAAATGTCTTTGCATACCTGTCAAAAATGCATGCAAAAGTGCCAGTATGCTTCAATTTCTTTAATTTCCATCCCGTTTGTACGAAATATCCCATAAACATAGAACACATCATTCTTGCAAGTTGTATATGCTTTTTTGCTTTTTGACGCATAAATTACTTCACAAACCTGGCGCAAAAAAAATTTTAAATAAGCTATAGGTGATTTCATGTATCCATTTAGAAGAGCAGACTAAGGATATCTTAAAACTGAAATCGGTTTCGAATACAACCATCAGGGATGTAGCAAAGCATCTGACGTTTAGGGTGGGGGGGGATGTCAGAGGATTATACGTGTAATAATTATAATAAAGCTTTTTGTGATTGATTGGCACTCTTATACTAAGTTTTGGGAGAAAAGGGGGGTCTGTCTGGGGGTCCTCCCCCAGAAAATTTTTACATTTTCGAAGCTCTAGGACTGAATTTCTGGCGTTTTCTAAAGCAAATTTCGCAAACAAATTGCATGTAAATTGACTGTATTTTACAAAAATGGTTATCATTTCACAAAAATAATTACTTTATTACGCAAATTTTACCTGAAACTGATGTAAAAATTTTAACTTTAATTTGCTGGGGTCAAACCTTTGAAAAGTTTAGAGCCCCCCCTTCAGTATATCAAGAACTTTCAGAGCCCCCCCTTTAATGCCAGAAAATATTTCGGAGCCCCCTCTTAACATCTTCATCCCCCCCCCCCTCGGCATAATAAATGTACTTTCCCTAATTTCTAAGAATAAGGCAATTTTCATACAATTTTGTGCAAAAGAAGACTCTGAAAATGCAATTTCCAACGATCTAGAGACTCCATATTTTCAAAATTTTTCGCTCGGCGCCAACCATGGTGGGCCTGGTGGCGCCTCGTGGACCCCCCAAAGCAAGATCCCACAGATGTTTTTTTTTCCAAAGTTGGCAACTATGTATCTGGCACAGAACCCCAGAATCGCTATATTGAAATAACAACCAAACCTCGTACCCAGGGTGGCAGGGTATTATTTCTCAGACTCTCTTGAGGGGGTGCTTAGCGTGGCAGAGGCGGGAGAAGCAAGAAACAGTTATGGAATCTCTTTTCGCACCCACAGCAAGTAGCCCCAATTATTATGCTTTTTGTCCCCCGCGGGGGCAAATCGAGCTGATTTTAACCGGCAAAATACAAAGTTATGTTTCGATACTAGAGTTTAGATGTTAATTATTACCATTTGCATTCAAGCGTTAAGCGAAATTACGGTTTGTTTCCGGTTTTGAAAACATGGGTTTGCCCAATGAAAACTGTACGTTTGACAGGTCAAACTTGTACGTTTGACATTTCAATTTTCAAAACAACACTTCGCTGGGCGCAGTGGCGTAACGGGAGGGTGTCAGGGTGTCCAGAGACGGGGGGGGGCGAACTTTAGGGGCCCCCAACAAAAATGACCTTAAAAAATTTGATAGCACATTTCTGGGGAATTGAATTAATTGAATTGAATTCAATAAAAAAAAACCATTTTCTGGAAAAGGCAAAATCCGTCGAGAAATTTCCCGAAGCTGGCTGCGACGGATTAAGTACGTCGCGGCTGAGGTAAAGGACGAGATACTAGAATGAATTAATTGCAATTTCATTGGGTATGTCCGGAAAAAATTTTGGACCCCTAAAATGGTACAATGTCCGAAAAATTTTTGGCGACGGGGGGGGAGGGAGGTCGCCAAAAATAAATTGTTCCGAGAAAAATTTTTGGAGCCTATTTTTAGTGTAGCAAAGGGGCCCAAAGTGGCCGATTGACGGAGGGCCCTCAGCGGTTGCGTTACGCCATTACTACATTTGAATATTTGAATAAACCAACAAATGGAAATTTTAAAGGAGATTGGCAACAAAAATTGCTTCATCTATTTTATTGCTTCATCTGAAAGAGCATGAAAAAATAAGCCGATTGGCCGTTTAATGCTCTATTCTATCTCATCTAGTTCCGAAGTTATACGCAAAAATGTGAAAATATAAATTGCTGATTCAGCACAACGTGTGATGTCATTAGCTGGGTAAGTATACACTGAAGGATAGCTCAGTTATTATGGGTCCAAATCAAATGAAATTTTGCATACTGATTGTACATGATGAGACGCATGGAAAAACACTTCTAATTTTGTTGCCAAGGTAACAATGTCGTTTCCATGCCCCTTGCGCCAATTTTATGAAACAGCTTTATTCAAGGTACTGATAAGAATAAAATAATATCAGAAGTATGTGTATGATACCTATGCATGCCAAAAGTGTACTTGCATGATAATAATTCGAAAATGACATACACATAGATAAATGCAACTAGTTATTCAAAATCAGTGTAAGAGGCCTGGGAACGACTGTGTTGCCTTGACAACGAAATTAGAAGTATTTTTCCCATGCATCACATCATGTACTATCTGTATGCAAAATTTCATTTGATTTGAGCTAATAATAACTCAGCTATGCTTTAGTTTACTATTCAATAAACATACTTACCCAGCTTATGACGTCACAGAATGTGCTGAATCAGCAATTTATATTTTGCACATTTTTGCGTATAACTTCGGAACCAGATGAGATAGAATAGAGCAGTAAACGGCCAATCGGCTTATTTTTTCATGCTCCTTCAGATGAAGCAATAAAATCAATAAAAATTTTTGTTGCCAATACCCTTTAAAACGAATAAGTTTGGAAGATCCTATATTAGTGGAAAACCTTTATCAGAAGACTTTCGAGTATTAATCTTGGACACAATTATTGAGAAGGGAGGAGACATTTTAACAGGTTATATTCCAGTTACTTATATCGAGATTTCGAAACGTTTCTGCGTTAAATTATTCACAGCAAGCAGTTGCAAAGATATGGAGGGAATTTTGCCAAAGAAACAGTTTTGCTGTACAATCCCGTAGAGGACTACGACTATACGTATTAATAATCGCAAATTAACTGACAATGACTTGGAACTGATCGAAACGTTCAGACAAATAAGGGATCGATCTCAATGCGATATAATAATATGAATGGATATATGTTTTAAAATATGATGTCAATGAAATGTCAAACTATTAAAGTCTAAGTTTAGTAAATAACTAGTTTATAAATCCCGTGTAAACAATACCGTACCTTCCAGAGGTTTATTTTTAATATACAGTAAGTCCCGCCCAGCGAGGTGTTGTTTTGAAAATTGAAATATCAAACGTACAAGTTTGACCTGTCAAACGTACAGTTTTCATTGGGCAAACCCATGTTCTCAAAATCGGAAACAAATCGTAATTTCGCTTAACGCTTAACGCTTGAATGCAAATGGTAATACCAGGTAAATCTGTCAATTTTGATAAAAAATTTGAAGGAAAAATGGAAGGATATTTAGAGATTTTTGGGTTATGGAGAAGATTTTTGGGTTATGGGAGATTTTGGGTTATGGAGAAGGAAATTATTTTTTTGGGAGTGGAAACATTGATACAGAGTAAATCCACATCCAAATAATATATACAGAGAGTTCACTCAAGCCAAATAAGTCTCAGCTCGCGCGCCACCACGAGGAAGACCCTGGGGACGAACACCGCGGAAAAACGTCTGCGCATGCGTCAACCTTACCTGTAATAGAATTGCGAACTTGATGAGAAGCTGTTCCGAACGTTTCCGAAGGCTCAAAATGGCGGTAAAAATGAGTGACTTCATTGTGCGTCTTTACAGCCAGATTTCGAGCGCAAAAATAAACATGTCATTCTAAAAACTAGGAATAAATACAGCCAGAAGGTTCAAGAAATTGTATTGTACAAGAACATGAACTGAAGGTGATTGTTGACAAATTTATCGTCTGAAACATTTTGTTTACCAACTAAGCAACGACAATTTCCGAATTTTCGTTTGAGATACATTTCTTTAAAACTAGGTTACCCACAGGGCAGTAATGCTGCCTTTGACAGCAAAAGACAAACTACAGGGTGTTGAACGAATCCTTCAGAAACATCCTATTATTGTTATCCTTGTTAACCCATTTATTGACAGTACCCTACCACTGACTGAGTATTAAAAATCGTCTGGCGTTGGACAGGGTAAATACTAAAGTAGAGGTCATTACTCTGTTGATGAATTAACAAGAGCCACTGGCAGATAGGTTTGTTAACCCATTTACTGACAGTACCCTATACCACTGACGAGTAAAATCTTCTGGCGTTGGACAAGGGAAGGGCGCATTGGCAGCTAATGGGTTAAACCACCGTGGTTAAACATAAGATTTCATGATGCTCCAGGAAATGTAAACAAGCTATCAGTGTGACATCCCAGTTTATATATTTATATACTCGGAATATTGATTTCTCGGTATATACAAAATTATTTTAAAGTATAACAACCAGCGAAGACGTAAGCCACTAACTACCCTGCGCGGCTGCGCGCAGACTATATAATGACATATATATGTCATTCGTCCGGTCCGTCCGTCGCCATCCGTCCGTCCGTCCGTCATTCATCCGTCCGTCCGTATTCGCGTTTTATCCTAACCCGTTTTTAAAACACAAAGTTTGCATAATTAAGGCAGTGCGTTTCGTCATGATCAAGTGAGAGTGAGACCATGGCCAATCAAGCCAAAAAGCTGTGTTTTAACAAAAAAGCCGGTCTTCTTTATAATAAAAATCGATTTTCAATAACTTTATTAATAACTGTGCAAAATTTCAGGCAAAGTTTTTCACCTAGGAAAAGGGATACAAGTCGAAACATTTTTTTCCGCGCTTCGTGTTTCATGAGTAAAAATGGCTGACAGTGCGTTTGTCGTTTCATGTGAGACCAGGTTAAAACCAGGTAAAAAATCATGTTTTAACAAAAAAGCCGGTTTTCTTTTTAATAAAAATCGATCAATTATTTAATAGTAGAACAAAATTTTAGTTGTTAAACAGAGAAAATATTATAAAATTGTATTGTCACTATAAATTGTAAGCAAATTGTAAATTTCGTCGGGAGTTAGGTAACATCGAGTTGGATTCGAGTTCGAGTTCGAGTTGGGCTTCGAGTTGGACTTCGAGTTGGACTTCGAGTTAAACTTCGAGTTGGATATTTTTCTTTACTTTTCGGGAAAATGACAATTGTATTTCACCCAAATTGTTTTGCTGCGGAGCGAGCGAGCCTGAAGCAAATTTACACATATATATATGGGGGGATTTTATCTTAAACCATTGTTTACCGCAGCTGTAGGCCTACATTGTGATCGTGCGCGATCGGAAATGCTCAGTAACTTTTTGTCGATTGTGCTTCCACAACACCTTGTAGTAATTTTGAGTTACAGATTACAGTTACAGATATTACACAGCACACTCGCTATCAGGGTTTTTCAGTGACTGGTTATACTAGGACCGGAACTGGCGTGAAGCAGACCGAGGTAGACTGACTAAGACTGTAAGCTTACCAATGGCGCCTTAAGCAGCCGCGACCTGACATGGTTTCCGCACAATTTTTAAATGTTGTAATAAATCTTTTTACAGAGATACCTTTTTCATATCATGTACTTCATTGTTTGTATTCTTAATTCGAAACAAAAGCACTCGTACCCTAATTTATTATATAGTAGACAGTGAGACACCGAAACAATACACAGTGAGATATTTTCCATAACTAGATCTCCACTAGTGAAGATGTCGATTAAGTGTTCATTTTCTTTGTTATTTTTACTAACGACAATATAATGAAAAGAACATTAAATACACGGTGGCTTGAAGTTTCATCTCGTGGTGAAAACTGAAACAATATTTTTTACTCACTCAAACGTAAAATTTATATCTTCGCACCGCCTTTAGTCTGCGTTAGCGGACTAACTCAGACGCCCCCCCCCCCTCCGGCCCCCCTCTCCCACTGGAGCTGCGGAGAAACAGCAGACTAATCTCAGAGGCAGTGCCATTCTCGTACCCAGAGCCCTTCTTACGCGCGATCAACGGAGCGCGACAAGGGGCTCTGGCCAAATCCATATCAAACTGGCATCTGATAGGCTACAACGAAGGTTATTGTTCTAATACAGGATATATTCTATTACCATGTTTTTATGATATCCGGTTATGGATTTGGCCTGAGCCCCTCGTCGCATCGCGCGTAAGAAGGGCTCTGGGTACGAGAATGAGGCAGTGCTGATCAGTCTGCTATCGCATGCTACACCCTGTCTCCGTACCCAGCCGTTTCTTTGTAAAAAAACAGCGATGCGCATATGACGAGTTCACATGAAGTATTGTAGTACTACACCGACGTCTAACATCCTCTATATAGTACTCTCCTTGATCTTTCAAGACTAATAATGCAGCATATCCTCACACGTAGTATTAGGGAGGCTGGACGCGCAGGGGCGGGAATATTAAAAAAGGTAGTTATTTTTAGATCATAGGCATATCCTTAATCTTTAGAAACTTTTACAATTAAGGTAATCCCTAATACTACGTGTGAGGATATGCAGATTAGTACTGATAGTTTCGAATACATATTTCGAACGAAACAACACTTAAAATGTACAAATTTTAATATATTCTTTTCCAAAATACACATAGTAATTACTGTATAAGATGTACTACAAAGTGCATTATAAAAACGATTTACAATAAAGTAAATTTACATTGCTACGTTTCATTCTCCATACTTTTATAAACGTAATAACACGTGTTTGAAGTAAACATGAATCGGAATTGTTCGGAAATTACCAAAACATTCGGAAACGCCAGTGTATAAGTAACTCGAAGTTTAACTCGAACTCGAACTCGAACTCGAATCCAACTCGATGTTTCGGGATTCCCAATTTGGTCATACTAAAACGCTTTTTTCTGACCATCAGCATTCTGTCAAAACTTCCCCAAAGTCCAGGAAATGGCATTTCAGAGACTCGAAATTTAAAAATTTCCTCGGGCCTCCGGCCCTTGTTTTCTGCCCCCAATAAACAAAAGCTCCCTACCGCACTGCTTCTGTAATATGTCTGTGCGTAAGTTATGCATATTTTTGTTAATTGTAAATTGCGTATTCATTTGCCGAGTAGCAAACACCTTCATGGCTAATAGTATGCCATGATATATTCGGAAATTATTTTCGTCATTCGGAAATTTTTGGCCTACACCCCCCCCCCCCAACTATACATGCTAGCTACGGCCCTGGATACAGACTTGCCGACTGGAACTTCTCCAGGTCCCCCGCTAATTATGTCCTCTCCAGTTGCACATCCTTAAAAAAGGCACTGAACCAAATGTTATAACTCATAGCAAAATGTATTATTAAGAGCAATGCATGAAGCTAAAAAACTCAACGTTAACTATAATCTAAATAGTATAAGCTATTGAAAAAAAAATGCTGCGAAAGAAAGTGTGGCAAAAAAAAAATCGTACATGGTGATGGTGATAAAAAAATATCTTGCACATAACGATCCCAGAAAAAAAATTTCCTGCCAGCAGTAAATCACCCCCCCCCCCCTCAAAAGTTAAATGGTCGGCCCCTTAGTCGGATAGTTAACTAACACGTAGTTAACTGTACGTGGGGCTTGCGTGGGGCGTTTAAAAACAAAATTACATAAAGTAAGGAGCGAGTAACGACCGCGGACACACATTTTCAACATGATTGTGGACTCGTATTTTGCAAATAGGCGGGAAATTTATTCAAAACACTAGAAAACAAGGAAAAACCGGCACAAGAATCATAAAAGAATGCAGTTTTTCCTTGATGTCTACGTTAAACCAGGGTATAGCTGTTTGGCAATTATATATCAGTGTTTCTTGGTGTAATGGACCATACTTCGTCTTCGAGAAATCGTCCTGTGCAAAAATATGTTCTGTTTTCGTAAAAACACGAGAGCGATAGCGTTTATATTGTCAGAAAACATTCACAGGGAAGATAGCGATTGAAAATCTCAGGTAACCGTTGCTTTTCATTGTTGTTTTACTGAAAAATGTTGTTCACTCCAGTACAAACGCCATTTTTAACTACGTTTTGGACAGTTAACTATACCCTGCATAGTTAACTTTAGGGACCGTTCATTTTTTATCAGGAGGGGGGGGGCTGGTGGTTTTTGCAGGGGGGCCACCAGAAAAAATAGCGATGTGAGAGGGGGGTCATCTCAGAAAACTTAAGTTTTGAAGGGGGGGCCACCAAAACATCAATGAATACATAATATAGAAAAATCAAAGCAATAAACTTTCGTACTCTTTCATTCATAAAAACTCAAAGATGGCAAAGTAAAGTTTCGGTACATGCATGTAGTTAAATTACACATGTAACAATTAGGAATTTTTATACATATTTATGATATTCATTGCATTCTAAAACGCAATTTATTTTCTTAGAAAAAACGTCATCTTCATGGCTGTTTTATATGAAAAATTACTGAAAGTGACATTAAGTATTACGGCAATGCAAATCAGTTTTCCTTTGTTCTTTTGCCAGAAATGTACAAAATTGTCACTTCCGGTAACTTTATTAAACAGCCAAAAAGACAATGAAGATGAAGTTCTGCCCTTTTATAAAATAAAATATATTGCATTTCGTCCTAGAATGTACTGAATATATTAAACAAAAATGTAAAATTCTTATTAAATATCATGATGACTATATTAAACCTTACAATGTTCTCAAATGACAAATGATTAACAACATAACAACCAGTGCCCTTCAGGGCTCATTGCGACTTATAAACTATCATTAAAACCCTCTTCTGCATCAATATTATCAACATCAATGCTTAATAGTTCATCATCATCATCTTCTTCTTCTTCTTGTTCATCATCGTCCTCCTGTCCATCATCTTCCTCCTGTCCATCATCTTCCTCCTGTCCATCATCTTCCTCCTGTCCATCATCTTCCTCCTGTCCATCATCTTCCTCCTGTCCATCATCTTCCTCCTGTCCATCATCTCCCTCCAGTCCATCATCTTCCTCCTGTCCATCATCTTCCTCCTGTCCGTCATCTCCCTCCTGTCCATCATCTTCCTCCTGTCCATAATCACTATCAGAATCACTAGTAGAGGCGGAGTCCAGCAGTAGTTCTGATGTCTCCTCTTGTTCCTGCTCCTCATCAAAAGGTACATCTTCTGAGGGGTAAAGGTAAGAGAAAACTTTGTCTGCCACATTTTTCCTTAAATGTGACAGTAGTCTGCTGCCAGCAGCATTACTGAAATGGTCACCATTTATCAAACTTGCAATGCACCTTGCTTCTCTGCATTCAAATGTTCCGAGAGTTTCTACATCTATATACATTTTGGGTACGGGAATAGAAGGTGGATATTGTAGAAAATGTGGAAGTTCCTGGTCTATAGGATTTACAACACATTTCTTATAAATCCTGGCCATATTTTTATCAAAGCGTTGTTGCTTTCTTTTGTTTGCCTTTTTAATGTTTTTTTCTTCTTTTTAGCCTGTGAAATAAAGATATAATGAATGCCTTTAAATATTCGTTTAAAGTCACTGAGCTTATTCTCCAATGTCCCCTTATTTTTATTCACAGTAGTTTTTAAGTTTTCCAGGCTTTGGATCTGACTTGTGTTGAAAGCATGTTGGAACTCGTTTCCTTCTTTTAATTTACTGCCTTTGGAGTTAAACAATGCAATATCATGGTTTTTTACTTGTTCTAATTTTTCTTCCACTTTTTTGAGCAACCGAGTATGTTCTTCTATGGCGTGGTTTAAAATCCTACCGTCTTTTGGTTTCACTGAGTAATTTTCATCTGTATAAATGCGATATCTTTCAGACAAACTAGGCACCTTCACATTCATTAGGTTTTCTGTTGCTTCACAGATATCAAATTGTCTCGATCGCTCTGCGGTAAATTTTTTCCGAAAATCTTCATCACTTTCTCCTCTAATTCTCATCTTTTTGTGTGCGTCAGGAAATATTTGCATGTAGTATGTCGCTCTTTTCCCTTTGGGATAGGCAATGAAGCCAAGCTTAGTATTCTTGAGTGCTGGTGGAATTGATGGTGTGTCCTGGAAAACAGAGGTGATAAAATCGTTTATTAAAACATTTGAGACAATATGCATGCTTCTTCCAAAACAACTGTCGACTAAAGATTTCTCACCAAATTTTCACTATATTCCATAGTAGATTTCTCAATATTTCTGTGTTCTGTGTCTATTTGTTTTTTAAGATGATTCTTTAGTGTTCCTTTGCTATGCCATCTATCCCAACAGGATTCACAAAAATCTTTAAAACAGAACAGCATTTATTTTTATTGTTAAAGTGGGAAAACTTTATCCAAAAAGATACTCAAAAGGGAACTTCAGTAAAAATATACAGCACACTTGTCAGCATTCATTGACAGTGTTCTTTTATTAATACATGTGCATGTAATATCTGAGATTGACAGTAACCAAAAGATTTATATTATACAAATTGAAGAGTTATAATTCAAGGGCCTGCCTTTTAATATATATAAAAATATAAAATTCTCTGTTCTTGATTTCAACCCATACTTCAATAATATATATTAAAATATATAAATATTAAAATATACTTACTCATGTCGCAAACTTCACATTGGTGGTTAGCATTCACTTCTTCACAGTCTTGGCAAACAAAGGTTGCCCTTCTTATCTTGTGGGTCTTTAAATTACCCTACACAACAAAGTGTAAAAAGTGTGCCAATTAAATTGTATTAACATTTATATGCTTGATAAATATGGCATTGACTCACTCCAATATATTGGCACGAAGTCACCAACCTTTGAATGAAATCGTGTACTGCACGATTCGCAGTAGTTAAGTTCACATTCACAACAGTAAAGGCTTGAGTCTTCCTTGTCACACTGCTCGCACACCCTGTCCAGAAAATCATTCATTCATCATTCAACATGAATATTTATAAAGGGTTATTTATATTCAACATCAAAAATGCATATTTAAATTCTGTTGAAACAATTAACTTTTCTATATTATAAAACAATTTATTTTATATATTCGAGTGAATTGTACCTTGAAGTTCCTTCCATTGATGACGGAGTATGCAAAGATATTGAATAATACTTGAATAATACTAAAAAACCACAGGGTAAAAATGTAAAAATTGTTTTAATGTATGTCGCTCTAATATAAAGTATATAAAGGCAAAGTAACTGATCTACACCGCTGACCATATGCTTTACACACAATATGGCGGACGAAAAAGATGAAAATTTCAGTGATCAAAATGTATCACCAAAGCCCACTGAGATACAACGGAATGTTTATAGTACAGCATGGCAAGAACGGAGAGCGAAGATTCGCAGCACTAGCAAGATCAGTGAAAAAATACGAGTTTCAATGCAAAAACTTGAGTTACAAGACGTAAATCAAAAGCTTGAAGGGCTTCTTAATGTCAGTACGGCTGTTTCGAAAAGGGCTATTTATGCAGGGTTACTTTATGTTCTCCATGAGTTAACTTCAACTGACCAAATATCAGGAAAGTTAAAAGGTATTTTGCCGTTCCAAGAAGGATACGAGCTTTATTCTAGTGCTTTTGGACCTGAAATTTTAACTCCGGATCCCCGAAACTTCAGAGATAATCTGTTGTCAGATGACATTGGATTACCGGTTGTAGTATTTATGGTTAAAAATGTAAATTATGTAGCCCTTGACCCAGGATGCAATGTGATGCGCTTTCTAGATCTATTCATAAATTACGAAGCAGAAGAGCTGGTAACCAGGTTTGATTTGGATGCAATATCACTGAAAACAATTATAGATTCTATGGAAACCGAATATGATAGGTCTGTAGTCCGTGCTATTATTGCTACAATGTGTACCCGAAGTGAAATTTACAATTTGGGTATCAAGCCTCAAGTTGCCGTAGCATCCTTGCAAAGAATTTTAACTGTATCCAGCGATGTTCAGAATGCATTAACTGCTGGGACGGACATGGCTGTACTGTCTTTGCAAGAAAAAATTAGTAAAAAGGAAAGAGAAATTGAGTATTTAAAGGAGTCTTATGATGCATTAAGCAAAATGCGGTCAGACAGTAGACATCTGGACAGCATTTCAGAGAAAATAACAACATGTAATGAAAGTTTGACATCTCTTCAGCAAGTCTTGAACCGCAGCGATTCTTATTCAAGGCAGAAATTTAATGCAGCAGCAAGAAAAAAATCTCAGAATTTGATAGAACAAAATAGACTAAGAAATAGAGCTTCAGGAGCTGGTGCTAAAAGAAAGCTTGATGATATTGATGAAGAATTAATTGCAAAAGCTATTGAGCAGAAAACAACTGCACATGGTAGAAGGCACGACATGGTGCTCTATTATCACAAGCGACTGAAAAGGGATGATTTATTGAGTATTACCAATTATCATCTTTTAGAGCGTGGAAAAGAAATTATCAAATCTGCAACAACCGTATACAACAGGGGAAAGACAAAAAAACAGAGGTCATTGCAATCAAAAAACCATATAGGTAATCTAACTAAATAGACACCTTAAACCGCATATGACACGAATTTTTCATCCATCATTGTAATCATGCTTTCATTAATATTGAAATGATAGTTAACCTAAACACTCTTTTAAATTCTCTATATCTCTTCTCATCCGATTTTTTATTTGAATGAAATATTTACAGGAAAAGGTCTATTCTGCTCGAAAAAACCTCCCAAAACTGGTGACAGTGACAATGTTCTCACTCATCATCAAAGAAAACACGTAGAGCTGTTGAAAGTGCACCTTTTTCCTGCTTGTGAAGATCATAAATGGGCAATAGCAGTCAGTGCAGATGACAAAGCCTATATTCGCCCTGAAACATCAGGTTAAAATTGGATATTATTTTTTTCTTTATAAAAAGCTACTTGCTATATTGAAACCCTTTTGTTCTTTTTTTATCTTAATATAGTTGGAATGGATGGAACTAAACATCAGTTGTTACTGCAACCAACTGCGGAAAGTGGTTTAACAATACGTGCTCTTCCTGGTCCTCATCGTCCAAGGCTTCTCGTGCAAACAGACAAAGGTCCTGGCGTATCAATAACCAATTTTGAAGTAAAGTTTCGTGATGCTGAACTGGCAAGGCTTTTTAATTTGGACCGGCAGATGAGGATTCATCTGGCCGTTAATGACCCTTGTCCTGCTGAAAGAACTAACGCGTGTATAGGTGAGGTTCCCAGCAGATTTTTTAATTTACACTGAACATGAACACATAATTCATATATCACGAACATTTTGTTTTTCGCAGGCGATGCAGTATCAGATGGCGGTCCCCTTCCATATAACAGATTCCAACCTCATGAAGATATCAGTGAAAGTGATATGAGGAAAGTATGAAAATTATTGTAATTTGAATGGTCATCTTTATGCTCATGCACTGTGAACTAAATTTTGTCTCTGAAAGTAACTTTTCTATTTTATACTATAAAGCTGTTGCGGTAGATCGATAAATATGGGGCTTTTTAAAATATCGAATATTCGATATTGCATGTAGAAAATATCGCGGAATAGGGATTTACGCTTCATAAAAGTGTCAAAGAGTGCTTTTTTCTTTTGTACAGTACGTTGGGTTTTTGTATTATAAATATGTCGTGACGTTTTGTTGAATATTTGGTTCAATATTTCTTGAATTTATAGATTGGATAAAATATCAACATTATCGGTATTTTTTCGATGACCATATTCGGTATTTTCTTAATTAATACTGCAACACCCTATTTATATTTCCCAATGTTAAGATGTCGTTAGAAGAGTTTCAAGTTTGTGAAGAACAAGCAGCGGAGAAGAATGCCTGGCACTGCTGTCAGGACATTTGTGATAGGGTTGACGAGTCTCCAGGACCCCATGGATACATGGCAGCTCATGTGACACCTAGACCAGATCAGTTGTTATATTTCAACCCAAGTTCATGTGATATATACTGTATACAATTTATATTTGTATATATTAAGTTGTGAATTTCTGATACAAGAACTGGCAGGGTTATTTATTTTTAATAGCTACGATATCAATTTCGTTTAGAATCCCAATTCTTCTACAACACTTATTATCTACAGCAGTTCCATACTGCAGGGACAAAAGTTGAAGCTATACCTGGTCATTGTTATTTTAGAAAGGTTGAAAGGTTTCTTGAAACTCATTATGAAGAAGGTAACAATTATAGAGAATTTTTAAAATGTTCCAATGATTGCTTATCTTGTGATGGTTGGGTAGGACCTACCTTAACGAAATGCCCAAGACCGTACCCAGATAATTCAGCTCTACCAGAGTACCATTACTTGGCCTATGATAAAACGCCACTGGGAGAAAGAGATATAGACGACTGGCAGCCAAGAGCGCAGATTATCAAACAGTTTGCAGAAAAGAAGTTAGCTTCTTCAGATCCAGAGAGTGTTTCCGCGTTTGCGGATAAGTATATTGTGAAACCAAAGCTAGTGTTAGAATATGTTAAACATCTGGAAGTTAAAGAATGGAAAAAAGAGAAAAAGAGAAACGAAACAGCAGAAAACGTTAAAAGAGCAAAAGAGAAGATGTATTCTGACTACGCATGGGATAACCTGGTTAAAGATGACAAAGAACTGAAAAGGCTTCGCGTTTGTGAATTGAACAAGTACCTTGTGCACAATGGTCTACAGAAGTACTTGAAAAAACGCAAAACTGATAAAATCCACATTCTCCAGCAGCACTGGTTTTCAAAACATGCGGAGATGGAGGAAGAAAGTGACATCGATGCACATGCAGAAGAGAAGGAATATGATATTAGACGGGAAGGAGAGTGTGATGAAGAGCATGATAATGGTGATGATGATAATGATGGTGATGACGATGGTAATGATGACGATGGTAATGATGATGGTAATGATGGTGATGATGATGATGATGATGATGATGATGATGATGATGACAAGCAAGAGGAAGGAGATGACAGAGAGGATATATTTAGAGATAGCGATGAGGAGGAGAGCGTGGATATTGAGCACGACATTGTGCTTGCAGTGATTGCTGAGGAAGATGGTTGGGAAACCAGAGAAGCTGTGTCACGCTCTGGAAGAAAAGTTCATAAAAGGAATGATACAAACTTCTTGTACTTTTAAAATATTCCCTAATTTTCTTTCAATTATACTTTCACTTTCGTTCATAATATAATTTTATTATGGTTTTATTTTCAACTCGATAAATTCATTGGATTATACGAAAGGTTATTACTTTTACAACTAATTTGGGCAGTTTTACTGCCCATCTTCAATCTTCATGCTAGTAATAATTACAAAAATATTTATACAATTGCTAAAATAATTATTAAAGTAATTGTAGGCATTAATGTATTTATTTTCAGCCTAAAACGTCGCAAAAGTAACAGAAACCTTTCGGAGGTCACACATGTAGGGGGTCATGGGAAAAAACTCGGAGTAGAAAGGGGGCTACTGGAAATTTCCCTGCATATGCTGGGGGGTCAAGACGAAATTATCAATGAAAGCACCCAAAACCACCAGCCCCCCCTCCTGATAAAAAATGAACGGTCCCTTATGTCAGAAAAGTCAACTTTAAGTCGACTTGGACATGGCATGGTATTGCTCAATTGTTTCTCTCATTTATATTGTCAGTGTCAATAGATGCAAACCACACCTTGTATAAACTATAAAGTTTGTTGTATAGATGCAAACCATGCCTTGTATAAAGTTAGTGTTCAGACGCAAATCACGCCTTGTAAAAAGTTTGATTTTTAGACGCAAATCACGTCTAATAATATATTTGTAAGCGAGCATATACTTCGCTTGGTTTGAATAGTACAAGTCACACTTGTAATTGAATGTCTGATCTGCCAAATATTGATCAGCGCGAACACAATGGCTCCAAGGATCTTAACACTGATGTAGGGTAGTGCCAGATTATAACCTAAAAACAAACAATATGGTTTACTTTAGTTTGTAAAACATTACTATACAAATATGCACCTGCTAATAAAGGAATCTCCCTGCAAGGTGGAAGGTGCAACATGGGCAGGATAATAGTGTCAAGCATCAATAATCTATACTGCCACACTCATACTCACATGACTGACTTTATTAGTCTTTATATTATAAAATAATGTTATCTGTGAAGTGTGAACGGACAGATCACAATTCACTGCTAGATATTTAAAATTGTACAGGCCATCTTTTAAACAAATAATTAGTCTACCATGGGTCTGGGAGACTTCACAAACGACAAACAACATAAAAATGTGGTCCCATATGCCCATATCACATTATTAATATGAGTTGATGTTATTGCTATAGATCATTGAATTCGGAATTCCCAACTCACAATGCAAATGTTTAAAAGACTATCATGTCCATTTACAGCTATAAAAGTATCCAAACGTTCAAATAACTATTTCTATCGACATACCTTCAAATACATAAACTCTTGTTTTAACCCCACAAAAATTGACAAATCCACTATAACCGTTGACACATCTTCATGACACGGCCCACAGCCTACATGAAAATAATACTTATCAACATAAAAATGTTCAGGTATCATGTGACTTTGACATCGTACAAGTTTACAGTCCGAACATTTTAGAACTTGTCGACAGCAAAACTCATAGGGCATCAACATAAAATTTTTCGCCTTATTCACAACAAGTCGATTCAACCATTCGCAAGGAATCCAATACATTTCAGTATTGCCACATTCACGAATAGTTGCATAAGCTGACCAACACTCTTCGCTGTCCTCATATGCCAATATATCGCGTATCAATCCCATCATTCCATCGAGCCATGGATTATCAACCACATAATAATCGTGAATCTCCACACATTTATTCAATTTGGGTTTCACAAAATGTAATTGTTTATTCACTGCGTACAACGTCCATAAAATAGCATGAAATGGATAGTTTGTTAATAACGCTTTGAATGCATCAACCCAAGAAGCCATTAAGGTTACAGGACACCCTTTTTGGCGTTTTGCGGAAAATCGCTACTGCGCGCTCAATATCAGTCCGATTTTCATCACATTTTCACCAAATGTTCTCCAGTGCATGCAAAATATGGTAAAGTTGTAAAATTAACAAACAATAAAATAATGTAAGAATTATTCAAGAAAATCTTAAATCGCGGTACCGTTACGCTTTTGAGTTGTGCTCCTGCTGGTTTTAAGTTATATTTATGAAAATATCATTTTTATACAGTAAAATAGTTGTTCTAAAAAATTGTGTTCGGAAATTTTTGTTTATTTCGTCATTCCGCTGATATGGCGATTTCTTTGACGACTGCAACATATTTCTGAATTGTTTGAGTGAATTGCTTTTTATTTTTAAAATATCCAAAATTAAAAAAAAGCCGAACACAATTTTGAAACTGACGTATTTAGCTATGACCTGTGAAAATTTGAGAAAAATTGGTTAAAACCCGCAGGAGCACAACTCATTTGAAAATCAGTAATGACCGTAAAATTTTTCGGGAGAAAATTGAATTTGAATGTTACATTTTCAATGTTTTTCTTATTGCAGCGAAATGTATTTTATTAAATAACTCTGCGAGTTTTCAACATTTTTCGTTCAAACTTGGTCAAATAGTAGAACTAGTCTAATGCTTTCATTGAAACCAATAAAAAAATTTTAGGCAAAATTAACACTCAAAGGTGTTCTGTAACCTTAAATACGTAGACATTTTTTACCCACACAAAGTATAATAGTTATATTCGTGTGCTTTTCGTTGAACATCATCCCACATTGGTACTAATTTATACATGTTCCCCGATGAAGATGTGTCAATCAACAGCTCTGTCAGATATCTGGCAAATATCTGAACTTCATGTCTTGAGCAATGATAATCACCAGGATTATGATATTGACAACGAACTGGTAGAATACCGTATTTGGTAATCAAGTCAATGTACTTGGCACAACCTAAAATTTCGATGTTTATTCCCTTTGTACCTAACCGTCTTAACAAATCCCTTTCGATTGTGCCACTTTTATAGGCAACCAAATCGGCCGATCGGATAAATTCATTGCACAGCAATTCCCATACTTCCAAGTATAGTAAAAAATCACCCATTCGTTTCGTTCTAACTACTGGCAAACCGTGAATCTTCTTTACCTGATACTTACTTTTTTCATTGAACGATACAGAAGGCATATATACTTGATAGATCATTGTGACATGATCATACATTCTATACACTGAAATCTCTCTTAAATAAACACATCCTTTCGATATCATATATGCTTCGCAGTCTATCACATGCATAATTTGCTCTACAATTTCTTTTTTATGATTGTCTACGAAACATTGTTCAGCATGCCCAAGTTGGTTATGCTGTCTTAGGAATAAACTTTCAAGGTACTTGCCCATTCTTGAATCATACAAACTGAAAGAACACATACACATAGCAAGCAATTTATTCAAAAAAACAATCAATTTAACACTAAACAGAAAACCTATCAACAACAGATTTACATCTACAGTCATCGTAACAAAAGCACTCACACTTCTCAATATGAGGGGTGATTACTGACATAATTCAACATGTATATTATGAAATTAAATTACGCATTTCACTATGACACATTGCATTCTGATATTCTGTCTCGTATTTCATTATGCTTCGCAAGATTGACACCTTGCATTATGCTACGGAAACACGCATTCCATTATGACACTGTGTATTTCGATATTCAATTTCGTATTTCATTATGCTCGCGTAACATTCAGCATGACGCTCAGTGGACAAATTTTGGTATTGTCACGTGGTAAATGGTAAAACAAACATGGCGGATACCAAAGGACGCCAGTTTGTAAGAGATCGTATTAGGAATTGTATTTTAAACATTTTACGGCAAATGCAAGTGGCAGGCGATGAAGAGGAACGTCAGGGCAATGTCCATTTTAGGCTGTAATGGCTGTTAAATATCGTCACTAGATATTATCAAACCGATTTAGTTCAGGAAGAAATTGTGAATCTTCTTCGCGAAGCTCTAAGAAATTTGACAGAAGTATGTGACTGTGCTGATAACGACGTCGAGGCTGAAGCAAGGTTACTTTTCTAGTTGAAAGGCGATTTAGCACAAAACAAATGGCCTCTATACTTGGTGTAAGTGAACGCACCATACAACGACGATTACAACACTTTGGTATGTCTATCAGAGGAACGTATGCAACTCTAACAGACAAAGAACTGGATTCGACAATTCAGGAAATATTGAGGGTCCAACCTAACACTGTTCGTGGTGTCAGAATTCAACAAAGGAGAATCAGAGAGTCGATGCGTCGTGTAGATCCAGAAGGAACACTTATACGAGCACTAGAATTAAACGTTATTAACCGTAGACGTTATTCAGTACCATCTCCTTTGGCTCTTTGGCATATTGATGGCAACCACAAATTAATAAGGTAAATATTGATTTTCATGCGCACAAATTATAAATTATATATACATATACATATATCATTTGTCACATCCACCTTGCAACTATGTATGGGTTTAATAGAGTGAGGGGCTAGGTTTATGGATTGCATCCATGTTAGGTAACGTATATGGTACAGTTATAGAATACCAAGTCATTTAAACATGCATGATTATGTGGCTACATTGGTCAGCCTGGTTTAAATAGGGAAAGGTTCTGATGAGGATCATACATTAAAAATTTACCTTCAGTGGTTTAAATTAACTATTAGAACATTGTCCAAGACTGTACATGGAAGTTTTGGATTGGCCTGGTATTCTATAATAGCCCTGCAGTAAATTGCAGGATTATGCCAAGACTCAAGCTTAAAGATTCTACATAGAAATTCAGGCCTAATTATCCCATATTATTACTTGTAGGTGGCGGTTTGTGATTCACGGTGGAATTGATGGGTTCTCTCGTATGATAGTTTTTCTGGCTTGTTCTACAAACAACAAGGCTGCCACTGTGTTAAGGCATTTTGAGCGTGGTGTTGCTGAATTTGGTTTGCCCTCACGTGTACGGTCAGACAAAGGAGGTGAAAATGTTGATGTCGCATGGTATATGTTGACACATCCCCAACGTGGACCAAATAGGGGCAGTCATATCACAGGACGCAGCATTCACAATCAACGAATTGAGAGGTTGTGGAGAGATGTGTTTTCTGGATGCACCAGCGTGTTTTACCATCTTTTTTATTACATGGAAGAGTCCGGTATTTTGGATGCCTCCAATGAATATCACATGGCTGCTCTCCATTTTGTTTATGAGAAGAGAATCAACCAAAGTTTGGAAACATTTAAAGCTGGTTATAACAGAGCACCTATAAGCACAGAGAGAAACCAGAGTCCAGAACAATTATGGATAAATGGCATGTTGAGAAACAGGAATTTAGGTCGGACAATTGCCAGAGAGTTTAACAATGAGGTAACTAACATTTTCACAACCTTCTCAAGAATGGCACAATCCATTCAGTAATACTGTATATGACAATACACATAGTTGTGTTTCTTACTCTGTACTCATTTGTTTAGCCATTTATGCTTAAAGAAGTCAAACCTGTCAAAGAACAGTCATACCTGTTCAAGCATCTGTAAAAGATAGACCACTTGGAAATTAATTGCTAATTCATTTCTTGTTTTCATTTTATTAGCATCCCGCATTAAGAAATATACCACTTACTTGTATTATATTATTTCACTTGTAGATCAATCCAGCAACCTATGGAATTGATATGGAAGATCCTATGCCACTAGATCTAGAAAATGAATTGTCTAATCATGTAGAAGTTTCCGAAGCACTGCAACCTGTAGACGAAAATGCATGGTTGGAACTCGAGGAGACAATTGATCGCAACCGCCCTTCGGCATATCAGGGTGTGGATATTTACTGTGAGGTTCTTCAGTTCATAATGGAAAGGTTGCCAAGGCCTACTGGTAATTAAGTTCTAAGTAGTGTACATAAATTGCATTTCGTGTCGCTGCGGTACGGTTGAAGAAACAAACCAAAGTTTACAATTTTCCCATGGTTATTACCTGCCTGTTACAAGGTAGTAATCATGGGAAATTTTTTTGGAAGACAAGATTTACAAAATCAGGGTTTTTTTCAGGATTTTCTCTTGGGTCCGTTTTTGCAGAGAAGATTGAGTTTAGCTGAACAACTGGGGGTCTCTGGCAGCTGCGAGAGGCTGACTCCTGTACCCAATAAGTGTAGTTGAGATGCAATGTGTTTAAGCAGAAACTATAAACTGGTTAAAGATGGCGAATACGTTGTTTTTCTTGTGTTGTGAAATGAATTCCAGCCATTTTTCTTGATTGTCAGGTTTCCAACTGAACACTAATTTGCACATGTCACGAATTTAACTCAAACAAGTTCATTTTACTGCACTGAATCTTTTGGTGAGAAGATTGAGTTTCAAAACTCAATTCAAGATTAAGTTTTTGGGGCCGTTTAACGGTCCTAAAAATTCCCTGAAAAAAACCCTGAAAATATTGATGTGGGATGCAAGAACTAAACAATTAAACATAAAAGGCAATCACTAAAAAATTAAAATTAGATAAACGTGACATGAAATTTTTATCATCCTTTTACAACTGTACCCCCTCACCATAGTATTAAGGTGGCTCCCTACAGTTTACTAGAAAATAGAAGATCTCTGATTTAGACCCAATTTTTCAACAATTCCTATATGTTAAAGGACAAAGAAAGTCCGATTAGAAAAATCATAATAACTATAGCAACTGCCGTCACTATGGCAACAATGACACTTCAATATGGCCGATATTTTGGGTTTAAAGTTATTTAACTTGATAAGGTTGGTTACCCCCATCTTTTATTGCATAAAAAGAATTTGTTTAGTATTTTGAATCATGATTTTTAAAAAAATCTGTCATGCGAAAAAAAATTGTTACGAATTATTACATTGTCCGATCTTGAAAAATTTTGGCATGACAGAATTTAAAATTATTTTCGAGTTTCAGTTACTTTAAACCAAAAATATCTGCCATATTGAAACGTCATTGTTGCCATAGAAACGGCTGTTAGGAGGACATTTTTAAACTCTCCGAACTCCTTAGTTATTGCTTTATTCAAGTCAAATACTCTTTGTTTTTCAACAAATAATTAATGTCCAGAAATTCATGTCCAAATCAGAAAATCTTCCATTTTTTAAAAAGTGTAGGTAGCCACCTTAATTTAAAACTTGATCTTAACATAAAAACCAATTAACAACAAAAACAAGAACATAACATTTAGAAATAATCTGTCACTAGCAAAGTATATGTGCATTATGAGGTATGTCGTTTGAAGACAGAATAATTTTATGAATAACAAAACCCACTCGAACCATACTTTAGAGCCTTGTCCATAAACTCAGTGAACTCTTCAAAATTTGTATGTTTCACTGGCAACACCAAACTAAAAAAGCAGCACTCGGCCATAGGCAGTACAATGCTACCATCTTTGTCGAAGGAAACATACAGCCTTTGTGATCGAGGAGGAAACATATTACTTCCAGTCCAGAAGCAGCACAAATCGACTGGTTCTGCACCATCTGTAAAAAGTAAGTGCACAAAAATTTAATATACTGTACATTGATGTAATTTACTGTGTACCTGTAATGTAGACAATAATACTGTTAATGTAGATTATTGTGCATGATACTGGTATGAATTAAAATTTGATGTAGTTATATATGATTTAACCAATTGAGTGGCAGCGCTTTTCCATTGACAAGTAAAATCTGGTGTTAGCCAGAGTAGAAATACTAAAGTAGGGCGCATTGCCACTTAAAGCGTCAAACATGGACAATTGACCACTTGCGTAATAGACTAAATTTTGATCTAGACAAAAATTTCATCACAGCTTGAAAGAGCATCACAAAATTAGTAATATTCCAAAGTTTCGTTGCGAAATGTTGTAAAATGCGGATAATATAGCCTTGCGAAGTTTGCAATTTTCAGTCATTTTAGATTACAAACGGGAAATTGACAGCCCAATACCCTTTGGGGCTGTCAATTTCCCGTTTGTAATCTAAAATGACTGAAAATTGCAAACTTCGCAAGGCTATATTATCCGCATTTTACAACATTTTGCAAGGAAACTTTGAACTATTACTAATTTTGTGATGCTCTTTCAGGCTGTGATGAAATTCTTGTCTAGACTTGTTTAGATCAAAATTTAGTCTATTATGCAAATGTCAATTAATCACATTAATCCCAGTGACTCTCCTTTTTTCAACCCTGTTGTACACCCTCCAATATGGTATGTGTTGTATGTACCTTCTTTCCTATTTTCAAGCAGCTCTACATACTGAAAAAAGAAGTCCTTTGTCTTTGCATTCCTTTCCAGTGTCTCATCATCACTGAATTCAATTTTGTCTTTCACTTCTTGTGCATAAATATTACAATCCTTTCTTGTTGGGTAAAGCTGACTGATAACTTCAGGGTTACTTTCAATAAATGATTTCAAACCCACTGTCTACATTCCTGTGTAAAACAGTCGTGTAGTATTATGTAACAGTGTTGTAGAACTGGGGACCTCAGAGGGGGCGGAGTGACAAGACATGGAGCGTGCGACATGATAGTTCGACCTGGGAGGTCATCCTTAAAGAAGAGAAGTCTAAAAGTCATAAATACATTCAATTGAATTCATTGCCTTGAAATATGTTGCAAATCCAGGGGTAAAATGTTCCCAGGGATCTTTCAGGGAAGGGGCAAATTCCCACCATGGCCCTCTCCCCTTTGATAGCTATGGTTCACCAATGGTATGTATATACAAGAATCCTCCAGTGATACATATAGTCGTTTGTTGTTACTGTACAATAACCCTGTGTAATCTCAAACACTTTTCTCCTCAAGCAAGTATGATAGGTTAATAGGATATCTGATTGCACTTAACATACCAGTTGAAATGTCATCAAGTTCCAACTTTCTCTTCTCAATAACAAAAAACAGAAGAAGGCCTTGAACAACAATTTCCCTGCTAGAGTGTAATAATTCTATATCAATACCAGCCTCGATAAGGTATGGAACCAGATTTGAGACAAGACTATTTGGTAAAGATTCATGCCTGGGTGACTGCAGTACCTATGAGAAAAATTATAATATACCTATATTATTAAATTTTAAGAGTACCAATATTCAAACTTCTGGTCAGACCTGCATATGTGCATACTCTGCCTTACAAAATTAGGGAATTCATTACGGCCTGTGGAGGAGGTTATTTCAGAGTTATGCCTTTTATTGTACATCTTAAATGTGTACTGTCACCATATTGTTCTTTTTTCCAAATAATTATACGATAGAGTTCAAGGGTTACTGGTACCATTGTTTTAGGATTTCAACACTTAGAATCTTCAAGTACTATGTAACCCTAAATAAAACCTTTACATTAGGGAATAGGGCTACAGTACATGTTGACCGAATTCTTTCCAGGGTATCTGTTGCTTGTAAGGGAGTGGTCATTATTTATAGGGAGGGGCATTGGCAAATGGGATGGGGGACTTGACAGATGGAAAATTTTAAACCCCCCATTTGCCAATCCCCTGTCCGTCCTCACAAATGACGAATCCATAAATTATAGTAAGTTTAGTTACAGTAGCTTACTTCTAACACTGCTTGAAGCTCAACATTCGGAACATCCATTATCTCCAGTGGTGGTGGGTTCACTGTTGTGTCTTGACCTTGTTTGCATGTAAAGTAATGTTTCACTGCTGGGGACAGACCTCCCAAACATGGGCCATTGTGCAGGAATGCACGAGCAAGGATCGGTCCAATTGCTTTAAAGCTTCCTGTTTGCCTTAGAGCTTGGTTGTGGACAGGAACTTTATGGTCATCTTGGCCTTCAAAATAAATGATTGGCTTCATGGGGAAATCAATGCCATCTTCTACAAGCTTAACTGCTGAGAATAGAAATTCCCTGACAGGGCCTGCTCCCACTCCTTCTTCCCCTTCAAAAAGGACCCTCAGTCTTGCTGTTAAATTTGTGTTGGGGTTCTTGTATACACCCAAGATGTCAAGCTTTAATTGTTCAACACCTTCACTTCTGCATACACAGAACAACTGACGAGGTGAATTGGCGGCAATTGTGTTTTCTTTAAATAACCTTATTTTGTTGGGTAGTGAAGTTGTAGTGTCATCACAGACTTCTCTATCTTCACGCAAAACAATTGGAGTAAGGAGATTGCTGTCTAGTGCTGTCTCCACGTCACTTGAGTCTGATATTTACAGAATCTAAAACCATAGCATCAACAATTAACATGGAATGCACCTCGTAGGGTAGCACGAGGGTTTATACAGAGTTTTGTACACTATTTTTAGATTTTCAAATTAAATTATAAAAGCTAACGTCCTTGTCCTAAAATTATCTCTGTTGCATTAGTCAAGTTGAAATTAGCATTTTCTAAAGCCGATTGAAGCTGGGAATCCTCATGGTCTGGAAAAATTTGCTTCAGCTGAGGTAAGACAATTGACATTCTGATGTCAGGAACCTGAAACAAGATTAATATGTATAACAATAGTAATGGCACTGACAATTACTGTGCACTCAATAATGCTGTACAGAAAGAATTAATACATTGAAGGAACAATAACTTGATCTATGTACATATATAAAAATCTGAAACAATGTGTGTCTAGCATTGACAATAATCAGTGCCTCCCATTGAATAAAATGTAGTTTACCCATAAGTTGCATGTGTCCTTTACGCACCCTAACATACTTTATTATTTTGCTGTGTCTAACACCAGACTATTTTACTCATTAAGGGAAGACTGATGCCACTAAATGGGTTAAGTAATCCATTAATTAATGGCACAAACTCTTGTTAACAAGTAAATTTTGTTAGACAAGACACACTATACAGTAAGGGCCTTTGCTGCGTATATGGGTAAATACAATTAAAGAGCGTCATGACAAATAACTGATGCATTTACCATGTCACACAGTGCATGTACATACCCCCATCATCATTTAACATATCATCGTCATTGAAAAGTCCTGATGAGCAACATGGTCTATCTTCCATTGAATTCCTAATTAAAGATGTCATTTCACAAATAATTCCATTTAGTGATCGTAAAACAACTATGATATTATGCCATAACTGTCACAAACAAACTCGCTAGCTAGTTAACTAGTAAATATAGTGGTCTAAATAATAATACTATTAAATAATCTAATATCTAATCTGAATAATAACAAACTTAATAACTTGCCAACAAACTATTCTAAATAAGTAAATTATTAACTATCTGTATAAATCTTGTCCTTTAAGTTTAATTCAACTGTACATGCCTGCATTTCTTCCTATGCCTTCCCTATAACAAGTGCATTGTAATGTACTTTTACTCACCCATTACATTCTGCTTGATGACTCTGTATCAATGAAACTGGGATGTTTATGTTACAGTTGATACAACACACTTTAGGTGCCTCTTCCACTGCCTGTACATAAACATGAAATATCACAAGAATCAAGAAAAATTTCCATAACACAAATCAATAATACCCCCCCCCCTGCTTTATTGGGCCCCCTCGCCAACAGAGAGCTGCTTTGGAGAAGGGGCCAGGACCAATAAATCCTCAATTAAACAAGCATGAATAATCTGAACCTCTCAGCAGTAGACAGCAGCCTGGGTGGAAAGCACCAACAAGCTGCTGCAGGATCACTGCTGCAATAACAGAAACTTATTAGTAATTAGTATTACAAAATAGCTAGCCTGCTGCAGATCTCGGGCTAAAGTGGCCTACTTTCCAGTGTGGGACAGCAGTGTGTACATTGTGCTCATGTAATGGTGTCAAAAGATTGGTTTTGTTGGTTGGAGGGGGCTAGAGAAACTTTAGGGGCCACCAGGGGCATGCTCCCCCAATGCTTTTAAATTTACATATTTTAGAATCGGTTCCTTTCCTGGTAACTGCATTTCTAAATGAAATCATCGAGGAATAGGAATTGATAACAACTTTGAAAAATATATCGTTGCACATTCGGTCACAGTCGGAAAAATGTTTATAGTATGCTGTACCATCGCTTGCAATTAACGATGAACAGTCGCTCATAAAACATTCGCGTGATTAGAATCTTCAATGTTTGTCAAGAACAACAACACTTTTAAAATTGTTGTTTCCCATGTGTACAATAATAAGTAACAAAACTTTGTGTGGTCTGAACATGTTGGGCTAGAGACCTACTGGAAACCTTGACAGGCTTTTTAATGAGAATAGAGAATGTTTTATCTGCAACTGTTCACCCTTAGTTGCAACTGACAGTATTTGACAGCATAAAATTGCCTGTGGCTGTGATAACTGATATAAATAAAATACAGTCTGGTTATACTGACTTGAGCTTGTCTTGACAAACTCTTTATTGGAAAATTGTGAAGAATATAGAGGGTCGAATATCATAATTCAACTTGTATAGCTACAGTATCATTGGTACATAGCGTTGTGAAGACAAGCCTTTGCTTACCTTTCACTTCAACAGTCTTTTTTCCATGCTTCTCTACGCTTTCCCAGGCGAGCTTCTCTTTCCTCAGCAGTCTCCTCGAGCAAATGTTGTCGTCTTCACTCCCTCCTTTTGGCTAGACGCTCGGCTTTCTTGTCATTTCCTTGCCACTCTTCATTTGGCTCCATATCTTTTCAATTGGTATTTTATACCGTGATTGTTTTATTAAACTTTTTATAGAACAAATTGCTTTGAAAGCTGTCAAAGTTTTTTGCAAACGTACAAAATACTGTAGTGCAAAAAGCAAATTATTTTCATGAAGTATCTGTCAGTTGAAGTCGTCATTTGTCATACAACAACAAATTTTAAATTTGACCAATCAGTGTTCGCTATCCATGACAGTCGACCATATTTTTGAGATCAGTGAGGATGACCACCAACAACACTGATGAATTTTGCTTCGTTCCAATGTAGAAAAGTCAATTGAAACCGAGCGTTTTAAACATGAAACTGAATAGGTTCATGTATATCAACTTATCAACCTTCATTAATTTTTGTTGTGATTTTAGACAACCAAATTCTGTCATGTGCAGTACAAGGTTAAGTGAGTTTTGTTTTACATTTTGTTTTTACAAGTAAATAAACTCACTACAAACTGCACAGTTGTATTCAATGCAGGTGCACGATAGCCAAACTGATTTTGGGCAATTGCAAGACTCGCAGTTCTGGATGGTGGGTTGATCAATTGCGAGGAAATAACTGCAGGCGTACCCATGGTTCCTCTTGTATTGCTAGCTCTCTGCTGGAAAGGAAAAATGTGAATGTAAATAAGTTTTTCCAGTTGTTGACTACTTTCCACATTGCAAGGTTATTAATAATACATTTTAAAGAAATAAAGGCCTTCGAATTCGTCAATTCACGAGCATTGATCAACAACAAGAGTTGGGGAAATCTTGCTGGAAGAATTAACAAAAAAATTATTTGTAAACTTACCGCAAACTGCATGGTTGTATTCGACGTGGATGTATGGTCTTCTAACTGGCTTTGGGCAAGACTCATTGCTCTGGATGCTGGGTTGGTTAATTGTTGTGTTGGTCCAACTGCAGGCATACCTATAGTTCCACTTGTATTGCTGGCACTCTGCTCGACATATAAAAAATAGTTTAATTATAAATATTAACATATGTAAAATCAGTATATTCCAGTTATTCACTACTTTCCACGTTGCAAGGTTATACATTTTTGAGGAAAAGGCCATGAGGCCAATTTGTGAACGTGGATAACAAGAGGTAGAGAAAATTTGTTGGGAGAATAAATACGTCGAAAGAACTGACCGCAAACTGCATAGTTGTATTCGCAGACTTGCTGCTCTGGATGCTGCATTGATTTGTTGTGTTATCGCAACATGTGGCGCACCCGTCGTTCCACTTGTGTTACTGGCTCTCTGCTAAATGAAGAATACATTGTTATAAATACAGTACTAAGTAAATTTTAAAAATGTAAACAAGTTGCTTTAAATAACTGAATATACAAAATACTCATTGCTCGGAATACATATAACATCTATTCTATTGGCTATTAAATTTTCTATTGAACATCCTTGATTATTAATATTCGATGGCGGCTAAATAAAAGGCTGAGCTATTAGGCTCCTAGTATATACTATTTTCATGAAGAATATAATTGGGTCAATTCTTGATAAATTTATTTTATGAATGTATGACAATTTAACGATTAGTTCATATGCATTCGGATACGTACCGCTCCATTTGCACTTCCCTTTCTCCTCTGAGTGGCTTTTGTGGCCTTTTCCCCGCATCCTTTTGGCATGTTGTGTGTCGCTAGGTTGGTAAGATTTGGTTCCCTGCTGGATTTTGCGTATTTCTTAATAAAGTCCATCAGAACCCCCTCTTTTTCCGCAACAGCAATTGTGTGTGCGCACAATTTATAAGATGACCAGCATAAACAAGTTCGTTCACAAGACACCTCTCCCCTTCCTCTTATTTTAACATGGAGAGCACAACCTGTTCTAGTGGTATCTTCTACATAGTAACTATTGTCCTGTCCGAACTTATGAATGCCGCACTCATCTTCTAAAACTCGGTTAGCTTTGACAACAATTTCCGTAAGTATTGCGGATGGAATGGACGTAATACAGGCCTGCAACGTTTGGACGGAAAGGTTTTTCAGCGGCGTATCTTGACTAATTTGGCTTTCTTCAACCTCAGCAGCGGTATCCTCACTTTCGTCTAAAGGAACATTGCAAAATTTCTTGAAGGCTCTTTCTTGTTGTTGTTTGTTCATCATGAAGTATTCATTCTCGTCTACCAGAAAGCTACTGAATTTCTCTGACACAAAGAGTTCACCGCGTGATATCATAGCGAGCTTTTTCATGCTCTGTTGATAATTAACCTCTTTTGGTAGATTTTCAATGTAATCCACAACATCCATTGTCTTATTCTGTGCTCTTTTAATGACTGCATTCATACACTCATTTGCATTCTGAGTATAAATATGAGGGGGTAGCCTAGACCCGATAAAGATCTCACTTCTGCTGTCAACCAATTGGTGAATTGATCTGCTTTCATTTTTGTAAAATACTTGTGGAATTTTTCTCCCTCCTTATGCCGACTTATCCACACATCAAACGGACACAACAAACGGTCCCAAAATTGCTCGCTGGAGTTACTGGAAACCAAACTTGGTGAAGATGGGTTGGATGTGCTTCCAAAAATATCTGCCATGCACTGTTTCGCTTCCAAACCACATATTCCGAGGTCTTTCAGCTTGGAGGTGATAGTGTCTTCCATATGCATGTCACATAAAAGATGCACTGCAAACAGAAAAAACGCTTTCAAATGCTTTTGAAAGAGCGAGTTCACCATCTGTTCCAAAGGGTAATATTCCTTGAAGGTCTGGATTGTACCAAATCATAGTAGATGGCAGAGCGTAGTAGGACATAAAAAGTTTCTGTTGGTGCAAAAGGATAGGTCCAAGCATTACTGGATTAACTCCTGATTTAGTTTTGAGCATCAGATCTCGGTATGTAGTCAAGCAAACATAATAGTCGCCAATATTGAACGTTACATCCACTCCAAGTACGGAAAATTTGCCGGGTTTGTGCAAAACCGTTTAACTTCAGCGAGTTGAAAACTATTTGCCAAGATAATCAACATCTCAGGTGCAGAACTAACTTCACAAATAAATGTCAACTTTGGATCCCTCTGCTCAAGCTTGCAGTGATCCATCAGTCAGAAGAGGGTCAGAACAAGAAGAAGCAATTTTATTTTCTTTCTCCTTCACGTCTCTTCTGAAGTTGGCGGCTTGCTGTCTATCGCAAGCAATATCTCCCGAAGAACGAATGCTCTTGATTCCGCCTTTCTCTTCAAGAAGAAGATCAACTGCGACCAGACGCAGACGGCTTGAAAGGACGACTGCCCTTGGTAAAATTCCCATGGTAAAATTCCCCAGTTTTACTTCATCACGCCCTGCAAATGGAACAAAGTTAAACAATAACTTAAATTTTTAACATTAGATTTCTTGCGTGTGCACGCATCATGGTGGGCACCCTTTAAAATCAGATATTTTACGTTTGGACAAACGTTGTCAGTTGTAGTTCACCTGGTTTTGCCTTCAATATAAATTACGTAAGACACACTATCAGATTGTTAGCCTGCGAACAGGCTCTTAAGCTGAATTGAGAGCTTGCATTGATAACTAATGAATTTGAATATCTGCCTCGTAATGTTCGTTTTTCCAAATATGGAATGTCTATCCTTATATGGTGGTGTTTACAACTTTTGTGCAAACTAAATTTAGACTGTGCAAACTAAATTTAGACCGTACAGTTTATACTGTTTTCTCAAAACAGAACATTTTGTGCTTTGAGATAAGACGGCCAAGACCAATTTGATCAGTTAATGTGTTTTTTATGCATAGTGCTTCAGCAGTTGACATATATAGAACTCAGCGGAAACATATAAATTATAGCATCTAACCAATGAGAATTTCGCGTCACAATTTGAGACTCAATATTCAAATTCATTAGTCATTGATGCAGGCTCTCAATTCAGCTTGAGAGCCTGTTCGCAATTCAGCTTGAGAGCCTGTTTGCGAGCATGCTTTAAGGCTGCATTCCAGTTACGCGGTTGAAATCGCTTTACACACTACAGTACTTATGAAATAACTAAATTTATACAATGACATCACTCAGTTTTGGGTATGATTTAATGTGTATTTGTTAAGGTTATTTGCACTTATATGAAATTTTATAAGATTTAAACTTTTCCATCACACATGTGAAAAACGCGTAACTGGAAAACAGCCCTTGCACACAATGCTTGCGTTATATTGTATCTGTATGACAAAATGTGTCACTTCGACGCCCTTATTAGCCTGCACCGTAGATGGACATACACTTCTGTGGAAAATTGGAAATAAAAAATCTGCTCCATTTTTTAATGTAATTTTTTATTAAAAAATTTTCCGGTCACGCATGTCCGCCAGGCAATGATATTTGCTGGTCAAACTGTGAAATTTTACCAGTCAGTGACCGATGACCAGCACTTATTTTGAGGCCTGGCCTGGGTCTCACTGCCACTGGCTTTAAGTTGTCATAAAATATTTATAGCCTGAGCACAGCTAGACTGAATTCTGGGTGCGAATTAAGAATTTTTCTGGCTGATGACCAATTAGTCGATTAAACAACCTAGTTCTGCTACTAACATTTTGTACTGTTCCCTTTACTGTAACACAATTGTGTTGATATTTGGTTAAGGTTAATAAAATACATAATCAAATGCATACTTTTGAAATGTGAAATTTCTCTTAACATCTTCTGCTGCCTTGTTTTTATAAAAGCGTCGCTCAATTTTGAACACAGAATCACATTCCCCATATTTTTTGCATCTGTCAATTTGACCTGATCCTCTGTAAATATACAGTGGAATGTCTTTGTTCCTGTGCATTCCCACACGCCCAAACTATCTGATAGTATATCTTTTGTGTTCTTGAAATGTCTATTGTCAAAAACAAATCCAACATTTTTAGAAACGGCCACTGGCTTGTCCTTAGCTACTTTTCCAGAAAGTACCAGTCTTGGACTTAACAAAATCTCAGCTACTTTTACCACAGGAACACCAGCTAGTTCCCCTCTGTAGAAAATAGGTAGCTCTGGGTTATCTTCAAAAACGTCAATGGGCTCATCATCACTGTCACATGAACAAACGCTAGTAGATTCGTCACTTTCCTCACTATTTGTAAGAGATACAACAAAATCTAGGTGATCTTCAAAAATTCAAATGTATGCAATTACTAGTAAGCAGAGTTTATAGTGAATATTCCTGTTTCAAGTCTCAGGAGGGAGATAGGTCGGGTAATATATTGTAGATATATATATATTGTTCTCCTGTTTTACAATTACATGACATATCATAGAGATAATGTGGGAAACTTTTGACAGCCTTGTGCAATCTGCAAGGGTAAATTTTGTCATCTGAGGGTAGAAAAGTTGACTGTAGAGGTGACCAAAATGGCAATTAAATTCTCATGGAATTGTCTGACGTATGTTTATTGTATAGGTACATAACACTTTTATCCGAATGACCCATCTTTCTTAATACTGTGACATACTAATTATTTTTGACCTAGAGGCTGGACTTATACTCAGTAATAAGTGGACAAGATTGCAAATGTGTAACAATTTTTATGCTGTTGAGTGGCAGCATTGTTCTCCTTTGCCAATTTTTCAGCTGACTTTTCACTAAAATGTTCAGAACTTCGTTTCTACCTTCATTCTCCTTAATACTGTAGGCCCGATTGCTGTGATGAAAGTTAGAGAAATAGTTGAACACAAAGCAGTGGCAGAAGGGTTGTGCTCTTTAGAAGTCTTAGAGAACAGCACCCATTATAGGCCCCCTGCCTGTTGATATCAACAGGCAGTCACAGCCATAATATAACAGGAAATTTTACCCTTTAGGACCCTTAACTTTCATGCAGTTCAAACAAGGGGGGACCTTAAAGATGTCACCATGCAGTCATACTGCCACATTAACCCATTTAAGGGGACGGTACACATGAAATTTTTCATTCTAGGCAAAAAATTTTTTTCATTTTTAAATGAGGCTTAGATATTGGAAAATCATCCTGAAGTTGACTTAGGTCATTATTTTTGTTTGTTTCCTTTGGATAAGGTGTTTTGTCTACCTTTTGATGTGGTTGCCATGGGAACGTGTTTATTATTTTTTTGTTTTGTTGCCTTTTTCTCCCTGATAAACACAAATTTATGCAGGTCATCTACATTTCTGACTACATGAAGTTCTTCACAAGTAGATGCCAACAATGCATCATGGACAGCCATTATAAACGAAAATTCCACAAGACAAAATATTTCAATGATTTCATACTTCAGAATTGTAATTCATCCAATTCTGTGTTTCTTTGTTTCTCTCTTGCTCGATTATGGCTGGGCAAAAGGTTAAAAACACTTACAGGGAAACGAGAAAAGGAAACCTTTCCCTGGAAAGCAAAGGTATAAAAATAGTTCAATGAAGACCACAATAACTGAGGGTGAGAAGACAGAGAAGTCTGCTGATGATTTTGACCTCGATTTTGACTTGAGCAAGCACATCACATGAACATGTGTCGACCTCAAACCCACCTTCTAGTGCATCAAGAAGGAAGTTAAATCAGTGTCAATCTCTTCAAGAATGCTTTTAAAAATGAAGAATATACTGACCAAGGATATCATATACATTTCAGAAGCAAATGTTTGCAATGAAGGTCAGAATTTGTTTTGTGCACGTGTTATGTTATGTTATGTTATGTTATAGTTATCCTATCTTTGACTATACTATATGTTTATATATGTAGAGAGTCATGCACATGTATGATATGTATAATATAGATTTGTGAATTTAACTTTCTCATGGGATATAAATGAACAACATAGCATATCATCAGCCTTTTGAGAAATTATGTTTTTCTATTTGTAGGCAGCTTGATTGTTCAAGAACATCAAGATGAAAAAGAGGTCTTCAATCTGATCAAACTGTGACCTGTCACGCCTGGCAAAAAGTAGTCCAAAATCGCCAGAGGTGTTGTAATGTTTTAAATTTTCATCCTGATTGTACGAAATTTTCCATAAACATAGAACATATCATTCTTACAAATCGTGTCGTTTTTGTTTTTGGATTTTTGATTTTTTGGCGGGAAAATGACGTCACAAACTTGGCGCCAAAAATTTAAAAATTAGCAATGACTAATAATATTTATTTAGTTGGAAGACCATGCTGTAGCAATCTTGAAACTGAAGTCTGTTTCGAAGTACGACCATTCACTGCAAAGATAGAGTGATTCAAATTTCGAAAAATCCGCCATTTTGTTCTCTTTTTTTAGTAACAAAATGGCCGATTTTTCGAAATTTGAACCAGTTTCGAAATTTGAACCAGTTTCGAAATTTGGCGCCAAGTTTGTGACGTCATTTTCCTGCAAAAAAATAAAAAATCCAAAAACAAAAACTACACGATTTGTAAGAATGATATGTTCTATGTTTATGGAAAATTTCGTACAATCAGGATGAAAATTAAAAAAGTTACAACACCTCTGGCGATTTTGGACTACTTTTTGCTAGGCATGTGTAGTTCTTGTGAAGAAGAATCCTCTTTGGAGACATCCTTCTTTGTGGGAGGGAAGTCTGCTGATATAAACCGACGCCCAGTGTACTATTCGATATAGACGGGTGGTGGATACGAAAGTCTAGAATCTCTCTGCAACATCATAAATATGCCATGTATGAGCAAAACTTCCTACTATTAATATTTAGAAACTTTTTAAATGCTCTTGTGGCTGAGGCTAGAGAAGAAATGAAACAGGCTGCAAAATGACACAGAGAATGAATTATAAAGGAAAGCGGTTGTGGAGACAAGACCTCAGTTATAGATGCCGCTGTTAGTTTTGATGGCACTGTGGCAAAACGTGGCTTCACATCTCTCACTGGAGTTGCATTTGTGATATCTGTGGATATTGGGGAAGTACTTGACTATCAAAACTGAACAAATAACCTCACAAATTGCTGCAAACGACTTCTATTGTTGTTTCTAAACTTTAACACTCATTTTCTCAAAACGTGCAATTTCGGCAGTTGAGAAAAGATATCTCCTGTTGTATTTGACCAATTATGCTAAAATTTTCAGGATTTGTTCTTCTAGGTGTGCTGTCTTAAATGAGCATAGAGAATTTCTATATCTTACTTGTAGGTCATTCTATTGATGAAAACGTCCCTGGTAAAACCTATCGCAAGTTCGTAGCATTGCCACTGCTGCAATATTTATCATAAAAAAAGTTCTATACTCATTTAAGACTGTCATACCTACACTTCTTAAAAATATATTCACATTCAAAATCCTGGCCATTTACAACCAGATATCTTTTCTCATTCATGCCCCTTTTTAGCACCGCATGGGGTGCGGTTTCCTGGCCGGTGTCAGGTTACAAATACTTTTTGTGTAAAATGGTCCATTTTATTATAATCAATAGGTTATAAGCTTTCAGATAATATAAAGTTTGTCATACCTACAGTGAATATACATACATACCTGAAGCTGCTTTCACAATTTTCTAGTTCTTTTATGTGTTTTTCTTATACAAATGGGAATTATTGTGGGGCTCAAGCCTCCCCCCCCCCTCCCAACCTCCCTGCTTCCGTCAACCTTAAAGCTAGCGCACATCAGGGTGCAATGCGACTTAATGGATTAAAGTATGTGTCATAAAGTTCAATACAAAAAAATTACATTCAACACTATCACGGTCATGCTGTGGAATACAGATAGAACAACAACCAAAACAATGAACAATGACACTGTCTTCGGTTGTGTTTGCAGGTTTAAAGGAAACAACGTTTGAAATAAAGAAGTTCTAAATATATCAAGGAAAGCATACTGCCATGAAAGGTTTTGAAACATCTTACAGTAATATCCTTGTGAAATTCCAGTAATTGTTGTTGATGGATTCACTTATATTCCCCCCCCCTTCCTGGATTTTTCCTGCAAATGCTGGCGAAGGGTCATAGCTTTCCAGGATTAAATTTTTTGCTGGAACAAAAGTTAACATTTTTTTTCCAAACCAGGATTCGCAAATTTATCTTTCTTTCGCAAATTTACAAAATTTTTAATAATGTTCCCCAAAATTCAAGTGTTTGACAACTTAACTATTCTGGGGCCTCATTTCGCCCTTCTGAGGAGCAATTCGGCCCCCTTCCTGACTTCGCTTCAACACGGCCCTCAGCCACCCCTGCACATGCACTTATGACAGGTCATTATTTTGATGAATTGAACCCAAAGGAGAGGATGTCTTTTTGATCTTTTTAATAAATAATAAAACATGCAATTATTGATATATGAAAAATTATCAAGCCCTGATGCAGTTTGTGTTCTCAACCTCACCCTTTGCCTTGGTTGATAACAGAAACGTCAGGCTTCATATCATGCTCAACCTCATTAAATAATCAATTATTTTAAATAATATTTCTTTACTATTTCTATATATACCTGGAGAACCGAAGTTCAAGGACTTTTGGTTTTACTTCATCAGTTCTTTGTCTGTTGTGGAGACAGAAATACGACAATTGTATATTGAAGTTAGGGTGAGAATAGACTAATTAGCCTATCAAAGTTTCTGGTGGCCTCCTAGCCCAAATAAAATATAGAATTTATACTGGAACTGTAATTCTATATTATTTATTATACATAACACTTTGGGGCAATGTGAATGCATAGGCCTATATAAATTATATAATATAATTATACACACTTTTTTGAAGGGCTAACTTCTGGTGACGATAATAGTTCAATTAATACATCTACGCCATAGTCAATGCTACCGTAAATAGATTAATTATTAATACACAAAAAATAACTATTCTACTATGTACTTTGTATTAACTGTGACTGTGTTTTGTATTAACCGAATTTGCTCGATTTTAATATTGCTATTGTTTCGTGTGCATTCATGCAGATGTCTTTCAACGTTTTACCTATTTTTGGTGTGAAGGTTAGCTCAATATCCTCTTTATATCTTTCTTCTTTCTTGACTACCACGCTATATATTTTAATATAAACAAACTTTCTTTATAAACTGAGGGCTTTTTTAACTCGTACTTTGTACTTACTTTTCGAGTGAAATACCGGTATCTGAATCCTCTTCGCTTGAATCAATATCAATTTGAGCAATGGACATGAGCAAATCCTATATAATTGTATCTCTCACTGAGTTTCCAGCGATATACATACCCTTTTCTAGATATATACCTAATAATAATAAACGAACAAATGAATGTATTCCTTCCACTCGTGAGCTCATTTACCATTGTCACATATAGTAAATGTCCAGGCCTTGTGACCCTGGATGGGCACTTAAAAGGAAAGAATACACACACACAAAGGTTTATTTATTCAACCATTACAAGAATTACAAGAGAACGATTGAACAACTGCGCATGAACGAACGTCCAAAGTGAATGCCTCTTGTTTAATAGCTACCTACAAAATTATCATTAGCATAACAATATGTCTCACACAACTCATTTCCTTGTCGTCATATCATAACAAACCATATCAGGAAATATGAATATCAATTACAAACCTTTAGTCAAATCCATGACCTTCAGGAATATTTACCTACAACTGTAGGATTTAAGTGCAAAGCACCAAAAATAACAATATGAAATTGGTCGAAGACCCGTACTCAGGAAATAAAAGTACGGGTACGGGTCTTCGACCAATTTCATATTGTTAATTGTATCTCTGTTGCCTAAAATGCTTTGCTTTTGTAAAAGTAAAACATGATTAGTTTATACAGTTGCCGATACTCGCCATGTTGTTATCCATGTGCTTGGCGTGTCGGCTGGCCCCACCTTCCCCTGTGCTTGTCAATCAAAATCCGTTAATGACACCCCATTTTAACCCCTATTTCACGCTACTATTATTTTGACTAAACTGTTTATATCATGGCAGGCGAATCCATACTGTACATGAAGCATCTTTAAAAAGAAATAAAACAAAGTCCAAAATATAAGTCCAGAGTCCCGTCCAAAGTCCAGTCCAAAGTCCAGTCCAAAGTCCAGTCCAAACCTAGTCCAGTCCAGTGTTTACAATATGCCTGTGTGTTAACAGTCTTGAAATTAAGTCAATAGATAATTTGATAGCAGACATTGAAATGTTGTCATAACCAATGGCCTTTCCAGATGGAAAAGCTTTAGCGATATGGTTTATTTCATTTTCGAAAACTGGTTCAAGAAAGATACTATTTAAAACGATGACAGGATTTTGACTTTGCAAAAATTGTTTGTAAAGTTTGTTTTTCCTTTTTATGGACTTCACAAGTCCTTTAGAAATCCAAGGCTTATACACTTTATAATTTTTTTTCAACGTTTTTTTTGGGAAACACTTATTGTAAATGCTTGTGTAAGTTGCAAGAAATGTTGTGTATGCATATACTGGATCACTAGATTCTTCTGTCATGGACCAACTTAAGTCTGCTAAACTTTCTTTAAACTTTTCAATATTTTTAGAACTTCTATCTCGAAAAGTTATGGTCTCATTCTTTGTTTTATTGTTCTAATTTTCAAATGTTATGGAAAAAAACAGGAAGATGGTCAGATATATCCGAGAAAAAACGTCCATTTAGGACACGACAATCAAAGTTATTAGAAAGAATGTTATCAATTAATGTGGCAGTGTGTGCTGTAATTCTAGTTGGGCGAGTAATACGAGGGTATAGCATGTTAGAAAAAATATTATCCACAAACTCTCCAGTTTTGTTGTGACATTGATAATTCATAAAGTTGACATTAAAGTCTCCCATTATATAACAGAGCTTGTTTTCTCTGGATATTTTTTCAGCTATGATACTAAAATCGTCAACAAAAGTATTAAGGTTTTGGTCTGGCGGCCTGTAAGGCCAACTGTGAGGTTTAATCACCTCAATAAACAAAGATTCTCTGTTGAATTTGAATGTGAAAAATGCAAATCTTTGCGGTTTTTGAACTGCAAGTCATTTTTTAAATACAGTCCAACACCGCCGCCAGTTTTATTTTTCCTATGATTATGAATAAAGTTATAACCATTAATATCATTCGTCAATATAACCATTAATATCATTCGTCAAGTAAGTTTTCATCTGGGTCCAGATTATTATTTAACACAAGATGGTGTTTAGTATTTAGTAATAAAGTATTGAATAATAAAGTAGTTAACCTATCTTGATCATAAACAATCGGACCATTTTGAAATTCTTAAATAGTCAATAAACTTTCATAATCCAAATCGGAAAAGGGAAAAGTATTTCTTGGTATAGAAGCCATTATTATAGGTATATTAATTATACAATAATTACATAACGCTTGAATGGTATTAAGTTAGCTAATTACTAGGGTCATTAATACTGCCAGGTCGTTTGTCTTTTATGACAAGTTTATCCAGGACGAAGTATACGATCTTACCGTCCTGCTTAGCTTGCCTCAGTCTAGGCATCTGTTCCCTTCGCTTTGCCATTGTAACTTCGGCGACATCTTGATGGTTTGATTATTCTAGCCTGTTTAAAAATGCTTTGTTTTTCCTTCCAGTCGTACAATCGGCATACAATATGCCTTGGAGTCTTCCTAGCTGATCCATGTATTTGTGTGGGTTTACCAACATGGTGTGCTCGTTCGATGAGAGGTTCTTGTGCCAGTCCAAGATTCTCTGTCAGAGCAGCTTTGAGCATAACTTCGGATTCCTCCCAGGTTTCATTACGTTTCTCAGGAATCCCTATTATACGAATGTTGTTCCGCCTACTTCGATTTTCCAAATCAGTGGTCTTATTGCAATAGGCGTCAAGGGACATTTTAACATTTGATAATTCACAGGTGATTGACTGAATCTCAACTATATTCTTGTCAAGTACTGTTTCTTGATTGAGAAGCAATATCTTTCTGTGAATACTCCAGACTATATTTCAACTCGGCTACTTCTTTCACCAAGTTGTCTACTCGTAAAGTCGTCGCTTTCATCAGGGACTCGACCATCGATTTGAAAGCGCTTTCTTGTTGTGCCATTGATTGCTTGACGATTGACAAGGATATATAGTCATCTTGTTCATCTGAAGATGTTGTTCTTGTTTTAGGTTTAGATTTCGGAGGCATTATTCAATAATTGTGTTACTATGTAGAGAGCGAAAAAAGCCACGTCTGCTCTGCACGGGTGGATGAATTAAGTCTCACACAGTCACAATATTCCAGAGTAGACCGTACAAGTGAAGAATATATGCAGGTCAGATCATTGCTTGGCACACCAGCTTTTTTAAGCACTCTGATTACATGTAAATGTTTTGATGCTTTGCTAATTATTTCATTGGTTTTTATTCCACTTTAAATTTCCCATTATGGTCATGCGAAGTACTTTGTGACATACTATTTTATCTAATGGAACTTCTTTTAGCAACAGGAGTGCTAAATCAGGCGTATGCTTTAGTGGGCTAACCACCATGTCTTTGCATTCCTTGGGGTTGAGATTCATGTTGTTATCTTTCGCCCATGATGAAACAGTATAAAACGGAAATTGATTCAGTCTTTCTGACAATGTCACATCATCGACAAACTTCCAATGATCTGCTATAAGCGGGGATTTGACTGTGAGATCGTTAATCATTATAGCAAACAAAATTGGTCCAAGTTATTGTATAGAGACTATTGTTATAGCACTATTCAAGATGATGGTGTATTTTAAGCTCCCCTAAATTGTTATTTGTTTGTTTCTTCTTGTCCATTGTATTCAGTTTAAATTCTTTAGTAATGTCAAACCTAACTGTAGAGGACTTAAACCACACTTTAGAAGAGAAATTAGTACCACTTACAAAGAAAATAGACTGCGAGCGGTCCCTCCTTTCCGCGGGTTTAGATTACCGGGCACGAGATTTCCGGGCACGAGAAAGGAAAGGAGGGACTTGAGAATTCCCATTGGTCGAAATCGATACGCCTGTCAATCAAGTCTGATATGTAGTAATTATGCTATAAATAATTTCCAGAGTGAATGTTGATTTTATACAGGGTGTGTCAAAATAAAAGTAATCGAACGTCAGCACGCTATTGTGTCTGAATTACTGCATATGAACGAGATTTTTTCATCTTCGGAAAGATCAGGCTTTTAGCTGTTGAATGATATGTTCTTCATGCCAAATGGATAAAAAATAGGCAAGTACAAGTCTGATAAAAAAATGCTAGTCAGATCGCATATTTTCACCATTGTAATATGCGATTCTGACTAACATTTTTTATCGGACTCATACTTGCTTATTTTTTCTCCATTTGGCATGAAAACATGTCATTCAACAGCTAAAAGCCTCATCTTTTCGAATATGAAAAAAATGTTCATACGCCGAGTAATTCAGGTACAATAGCGCGCTTTTTTATACACCCTGTAAATAAATATGACATTAACGGTTTCCTATTGGATTTGCCAAGAGCCAATTTGACAAGAGCAAAAGTGGGCGTATTTAGTTTCTTGCTGTGTTGTCTGCGGTCCATCATTTCTTCGAGGGACCACATTTATTAGAGAGAGCCGCACATCAAAGAACAAGGAATTATTCAAGGAGGCGTACAAAGCAAAGAAGGAAAAAGATTTCAAGTTTATATGGACTGCCTCAGGGTCTATTAGACTGGTTCCCAGAAGCCCATGTTGTGAAGGTATGGGCATCTTTTTCAAAAAGCTGGCAACATGGCTAGCTTTGTTAATTCGAATATGCCGATTTTGAAAATCAATGTTGCCAGATTCAAAACTTATGTTAAAGCGGTGTAATTTGCATTTTAAATCATCATCCATGACATCTTGAAACCTGAAAATTTAAAAATACATATAAGTCAAAGTAGACAAGAAACATGTAAATGTTAAAGGCTGGGAGAACTGAAAACTTAAAATTGGCCAAAAATATTCGTGTAACATATACCTTGCGTTTGTGCTGCTACCTAAAATCCCTGCTTCTGCCCATGCTTCAGCAAGACCACAGTCGTTGGTGTGCTGCCCAATAACCTTGAGAAAATTCATGGAAATGTGTAGTCCACTGAGACACAGGATCAGCTTAGCTTTGTATTCAGGGATAGTCCATTTGAGGTCCATTAACTTGTAATACAAGGCTTGATCAACTGTGAGAACTGTGTATTTTTGCCATAGTTGCGAAGAGATGTACATACAGCGTCTCACTACAGTGTTCAGTGTATCTCGTGTGCCGGTGCCTGAATTATTGGCATGTAACCCACAGTAGTAATTGCCGCGTTTTCTGCACTCCGTTTACTTAACGACTGATTAAAAGCCGACCAGCTAGGACATGTTTCCTTGTTTTGTGGCATCACAAGGTAAGACATATCGATGGCACGTGCTTGCTGCGCAATGTCAGACTCGTCCTTCTCAACTGTGTACCACTCGATCTTGACACACTTGGCAAATACTGGGCATGTTTTACCCTCATTGTTATTTGCTGGTATAAGTTTTTCCATGGCTTCTGGAATTTTCAAAGTAACATTTGACGATGGCTTTAATTGCGATAGTTGTGCATCTGGTGCAGGACTTGAGTTGCATGGAATGTATTCTTACCATCCAGAGTTGAATCGTTGATGTCGATGTTATCAGCGGTGTAGTTAGTGTAGACGTCACTTGAGAGGTTGGGCGGAACTACAGCACCATTGTCTCTATTCATTGATTACAGTGTATGCTCTGCTAGCGCTGTATTGATCTTTGGCACTTGCTTATAAGTGAGAATGTGCCCTGCACAATGGAAAAGCTGCACCAAATGCTTCAACCTTGTCAATTGATGCAGTGTGCTTGCGAGACCGATATGCTTTGGAGTCCACCTTTTACCCTCGCTCACTGAGTATACTATATCTTGTGCGAGGCTCAGAATGCGAATGTTAATGGCGTTTTTTCTTTACCTTCGGTTTCACTATCACAGTCTATGAGTGTTTGCCTGCCCAGAAGCACATTCAAGAACATTATAATCTATCAGGGACACAGTCAATTGCAGTGGCCTCAGCGACATCAAGGCCTTCATGTCCAGGTATCGCAATAACATCACCCCATATCTGTAGAGCAACGTGAATTAGCGAACGAAATGCATCATCGTCGTGTTGGTAAGTGGGCATAGTAAGCATATCATGGTTACTAATTGTAGAATAGTAGTAATCAGCAAGTACGTCGTGGGAATACTTCCGTGGGAAAATAAGTAATGGTTCTCTTTCTAATTTGTTTCGTTCCAGCGGTTGTACAAATTCAAACAAGCTACCCAACATTTCCACCAATTTTTCTTTGAACGAGGTTCTATGACTGAAAAACGACTCAGGAATGGATGTCTCTGTTTCAGCAGCTATGTCCCAACCCTCGAAATTCAACTATTTTTGCCTTGGCAAATAATTGCCGAAGGCTTTCGATAATTTTCGAGTTTGCCTCGGCAATTTTTTTTGCCGAGGCACGCAATGAAATCACCTTAAATTCCTTCGGCAATTACTTCGGCACCATTCGGAATTCACGTCGGCATTTGTAATTAAAGTACATACGGAAATTATTGTAAATAAATATTATAACGAGAGTAGTCGTAGATTCCGACGTCTGACATAATTTTTGACAATTTGTTGTTATTTTGCAAATTTCTGATTTAAAATGTTTTTAAATTAAAAAGGTAGTGATAATTAACAACAAATTGTATGAAAGAATAAACTTGACGGTAATCACGCGACAGTATAAAAGACAAAACAAAGTTTCTCGACGTACGTGTCGTCTTTAAACCATCAAGATTGTTCTTTATAATATTTCAACCAAAGCCGACGCTGAAAGGTCAAAGCTATGAATAAAATCTTCAGCTGTTCACCCGGCGTCGATGACAACGATTGGAACAAAGAAGTGATACGCATGCAGTACACAGGATTACGATAAATAAAATTGTGCAAGCGGCGTATATACATCCACTGTTTTATAATCTGAACCTATATTTATGCTTATACAGGGTGTATAAAAAAAACCCTGAATAGTTTTGAAATTGCTCTCAATTTCGCAAGACAGCTATTAGTATCCAGTTTTTGATATATATATATAGCTTCTTTGGGTACTGTAGAATGAAAAAAAATTCTTGAACTCAAATTTTGTAAACCGGGAATTAAAGAGATAACAAATAACTTTCAATGCCCAGAAGGAAAATACTATGTAAAAGTAAAAAAGAAACCTTTTTCTGGAAAACAGCTGAATTACTGTCACACTACATATATTTTAAGGTGCTCATTTTTAATATTCCCTGAACATGGTAAATGGTAAGACGTAAGCGTTAGGCCAGGCACATTTCTTTTATAAGGTATATGACAAATGCGTGATGTCTTTTGTCATGGACTGAAAGCTTAATTAATTAACAACAAAATATAAACAATATATAATAACACGGCATGATAACTTAATAGTCAAGGTCATTGTCTGATGATGAACAATCGTCCGATGAAACCTCAACTTCTCCATAACCATGGTCAAGATCTTCACCTGGCTGTACCCGAATTTTATTGTTGCCCTGACTGGAATCAGAATCCGCTTCTGAGTTTGATGAGGAAAGGTTGAGATCAAGACCTTTTCTTTTATCTCTTGGAGTGCGTTTCTTTCTGGGGTGAGTTGACATATATCCATCAAGACGACGTTTACTTGATCTTATTTCACCATTAGGAAATTCGGTTAGAAACAATTCCATCGCGTTTTCAAAGTCGCATGTTGTGATGACTTTGCGGTTACGAACTCGAAGCACTGCTTCCATTGACTGGTTATTCAGGCTTTTTCGATCATTGCGCACCATTCTTGCAAAGGATGAGAAAACTCTTTCCACCTGAAAAGGTCAGGATTAAGAATTAATATTTTCACGTTTGTAAACCACGTTAACATTTGAATAGGAAACATATTTCAAACATAGATTTAACCTTTAGAATACCATGATCAGATGCGGGGGACCGAAATGATGCATATAATATTTAATTTATTTACCTCTGCGTTGGACATGGGAAGAACAATGCAAATCTCTCAACTATCTGGAGGATGTTGCCAATTCGGAGCTTCTGTTTAAGACCAAACAGACTCTCCCATGCTTTCATTGGAGTGGTTGATGATAAGAATCTTGTTACGTGAGAGAAACAAGTTTCAATCTCAATGTCTAAAAAAACCCGATCCAATTAAACATGAAACAATGAAATCAAAGAATGGTATATATATATATATATATATATATATATATATATATATATATATATATATATTATATAAAAGCACAATTAATTATTTAAACTAGCTGTACATGATACAATACCTAGACGCCGCCCATCGAAGCCATTGGCAGACAAAACCCCCTCGAAGTGCTCTTCCAAGGTATGTGCAGCAGTTTTAACGTCCACTTCCAGCTTCAAAGAGTAGGACTTCGTGTCCAGTAAAGTTGCAGCGGCCGTGTATAGAGGATTGGTTGTGATATTGTTCATCCGGTCTTCGAGGTACATCGATAGCGATGCTAATGTCCTTTCAATGCAGTTTGCAACTTGAACCATGGCACGGGAGACGTCGCCATGCATTGTGTACAAACCGAAAGTTATTGGTGTATCGGCATCCGGTTCTTGGCCACGCGTTCTGGTTTGTCTAGGCACGGGTGCTTCTTGGTTCTCCTGCAGCTCAGGGTGAATTTCTTTATTCAAAGTAGGGAGAAGATCTTCAGCAAGAAATGCTTGATCGCCGAGTTCTTCAACTTTCTTGTGGAGCTTTTCGACTGTCTTCTGCGCTGTTTCGATGGCTGTTATTGCTTCGGGCATAATCAAGTCAATTTTTTCCAGCGTTAATGAACAGGGCACGAGATAGGCAATAACATCACGTTTCACAGCTTGGTAAATAAGTAGCTTGATACTCGACGCTTCGCGTCTGACACCTTCGAGCCTCTCCTTCTCTTTCTTCATTGTTTGATTGTACGGAAGTTCAATCTGTTCATTGGAAAACGATAACATGGTTTTCAGGTTTCGCAAATGGGTGTCGATTGCAATCTGCTGGTGATGCAGCCAGCGCGTTCCGACAGGGCGTTTGTACCGATGAGCTCTTTTCCCTTCAATTTCAGCGTAACGTTTAAAAAGTCTCCACTTCAAAGTAGCCTTTTTAAACAAATAATACTCGTTCTCCAGTTGTCGCTGTGCTTCCGAATCCAGAATAACATTTTTAAATGCGTCTTTGACAGCCAAATCTAGTTTGTGGGAAGAACACCAAATGAATACAAGATGGTCACCAACATCTTCCTTTTCCAGAAGATACAGCCGTTTGTTTGCTGAAGTGCCGTCAGACCCCACTCCGACTTCGTGATGTTTTCGTGGAATGGTCAACTTCGCCTCGTCGACAGCCTTGTCCATGGCAACTTTGAGACCAACTGTGTCAACACTGGCAGGTTCTTGGAGTGAAAGAACATCAAACGAGGGTCGCCCTTTATCACAGGTCTTTATAACATACAGCTCCTTTTCATCATTTGTTTTTGCCGACGACGAGCCATCGTACAACAAACTGAAGTACAGACGTGCTCCTGTGTTGAGAGGATCAATGACATTTCGTTGTAATAAAGCTCTTGAAAGATGCACCAGCATTTCTCGCCCGCTTCGATCTGTCAAGTATGCATTTCCGACATCTACTTTATGGGTGTCACGCTCAAACTTTACAAACTGTTCATACATTTGGAAAGAAAGGTTTTTAGTCGCCACAAAGTGGACCAGTTGAAATTTCTTAAGCAGTTGCTCTCTTTGCATAACGTTAAGCTTTCTGACATTCGTTAAGATACTTGACTGGCTGGGTTGTTTTTCCGCTGCCAATTTCTCTGCCTCGCTAATATCAACTTCGTCACATTTCTGCTCTGCCTTTTCCTTCAGTTTTCTGACTGCGTTGACATGATACTGGGCTTTGAGATGATCGTTAGCATTGTTTTTCTTTATCGTCGTCGTGCCTTGAATCCATTTATTAACTAACGATTTTACAACGCCAGTTAACTTACTTAACACTTTCTTGCCGTCTTCGTCGCTCTGATAGTACTCAGTGCAAATAATACACTTGACTTCAATTGCCTCGCCATCATCATTCGAGGTGACTTGTATTTCGTCAAACCCCCACTTCTCAACAGTTGCCTTCTTTACCATATCGCAATATTCATTTTGTGTGTCACTCGTCACTATATTTTAATATATTATTGTTCACATATGCAAATAACATACGTATAAAAAAAGGAAAAACGTTTTTTTAACGTTTCGCGCCCGCGGTCCTATTCGCGCCCGCGGTCATATATGACCAATACGTCATGATATGATACGATATAACATCGAACGTTATGATGCAATCCAGTGACATACAAGGAGTGAATACGCCGAATTGAAAAATTTTGCGTGCTTTATACAATTACTTTCTAACATTGTAGCTATAGGCCGTGCTAATTTTAACCTACATATTTGAATTCCAAGTTATTAAAGTGGTTTAGATAACGCAAAAGGCGGACGAACAGACGCCGTAGTTTCTCGGTATAACAGCTGGAATTGCCTCGGCATTTTTTTGCTGAGGCAAACTATGAAAAATCGTAACTTGCCTCGGCATTTGCCTCGGCAATTGCCAAGTGCCGAGGCGAATTTCGAGGGTTGTGTCCTGATATCGCTGCCAGATGTCCGATAGTTGAAGAACCTGTTCTTTTTCGGCAGCATACTGGAGCTCATTGCACAGGAATATGAAGGCAATGTCAGTGTTCTCTGATTCTTTGTTTTGGATGTACTATAACTGTAATCATTTCGGTGATACTTGCCCTCAGCAGCAATGAGATAATTTACTCCCGCAAGGCAAACTTGCATCTTGTATCCAGTTTAGACAATTCTAGAATATTTTTACTCACGTTAAATGTGCGCACTGAAATAAGGTGCTGTTTTCCATCAGGCTCCTGACAAAACATACATAAATCCCAGTTTACTGGTTGTGTTGATCACCTTGTTGAGCAAGCCTCTGAAGTAGAAACACCAGACAGCATGCCTTCAGATGACTCCCTTCTTTGTTTAGATGTGTTATCACTTTGCACAGTTTCGGTCAAGCGCTTAATTTTGTCTTTATGAGTGAAGTCTGAGTAACATTTCCTATGCCAAACCAGTTCGGGATCACCGGCAAGGGAAGAGTCAAATGCAATACATATGTGATGCATTGCCTCATTGTAGCTTGTGTCATTAAATGCGTTGCATCTCGCATTGGTTGCTTCTTTTAACTTCGCTAGTCCCCTCTGTGCCTTCATGTAGAATATCGTTGCATCTACTGTTACATATAACACATACCTTCAACTCAACTGAGCCGTCTCTTTTCCTCTTCTTAGAGCTATTCGCAGACATTTCGTTTCCAAATTTTATCATAATTTAAGCAAAGTTTAAACACTCGCAAGTAAGATAAGTAGTGTATGCACTTCCTAAAGCCCGCATATGTAATAAGCTGACCGTCTAGACTACCTAAAAAACCACCCGTAGTAAGTTCACCGTCTAGACTACATAAAGCCCACCAGTTGTTGTAGACGGAGAACAGGCGGCCTTTTGCTTTGATTTATATTGCTACATTACTTGCTTTAATTTATATAAATAAAGGGATTGTAGGGTTTGGTGGGAAAAGCATTCTAAAGTATAACTGGTAATGCACTGAAATGTTTTCAAAAGCGAGAAGAGAATAACACAAATATGGTAGAAGCATGCACTGCAAATACTTCTGTTCCTTATGTGTGCCACTCTTTCTATTCATGTGACATGAATATTATTTGATAGAAATTGTAAATAGTGCTTTCTGACTAAAAATGTGAATGTTGCAAAGAAAACGTATTTAGGACGAATTTGTCCACCTTTTTGCTACATATATAACAAATCAACTGGAATTCATGTGGGTTTATGACATCATGTTTTAAAATGCAAATTACACCCCTTTAAATGCATCTATTACTTTGTTTGACCAAAATTACCTTTATTCCTAGCTAAAGCTGAGGTTTTGTCCCTTTTCTAAATGTCGATAGTAAAGAGGTCCGTGCAGGACCCCAGGAAAACTTGATACTATTTTCCCAATAATTTGAGCAACTTCTTGAATTACAATATTACCAGGGCATTTTTTAAGAAACAAATCACAATCTGCCTTTAGGGCTAGTGCTTTCTCTGGTGTCAGTTTGACAGTCATTGTTACTGAGTTTATTATAAACCCCAAAATCACTATTTCTTGTGAGGGGATGAAATTACACTTCTCAGGATCCATCCTGATCCAACCTAACAGGTCCAGTTGTGTAAAAAGTGTCACTGTATCTATTAAATTAGAGCAACATTCCTCAGGGGTTTTTCCCTGTAAATAGAAATCATCTAAATGACTGGAAACAATGTGTCCTTTGATGTGTAATGATGACAAGGCAGGTTTAAGGATCTTAGTAAATTTCTAGGGCCACTCGACAACCCATTTAGTACGCAAGTAAACTGGTAAAGTTGATTATTCCAATAAAATCTCAAATATTTTTGTCTCTTTCCCGAATAGGTATTGAATAATAGGCATCTTTGAGATCTACTGAGGCCATAAAACAATTGTTATCGACTAATTTGACTATAGTGTTTAATGAATCCATTTAAAAATGATAGTAGGATACATGTTTATTGAAATCTTTTAGATTAATGATCACTCTATGAGTGCCATCCTTTTTAGGTCTTGTAAAAATGTTTGAGATAATTTCATCTTTTGTATGTTCGACTTGTTCTATAATTTCTTTCCCCAACATTTTGTTGATTTCGGTCTCAATGATCTCAGTTTCTGCACTGTTAAATTTTGTTTGGACAAGCGATGTTGGGCTGGCGTTTCTAACAATTCAATGGTCATGCCCTGAGTATCAGATAAGATATCTTTATCTGATGTTATGCTTGTCCATGCAGAAAAATTATTTGAGATACGACCAGCTTTTGAACTGGCGCATAATTATTTTAAATAATCCTTTAAAATAGGAATAAAAATTTTTCATTTACTTACTGGAGAAACAGATGAATTTATTGTCTTTAAGTGAGCGATTATTTCTTGCAAGGTGGTTGGTATTTTGCACCTTTTTCCCCTTGTAGTTCGATTTTCCTTGGTGGAAAAAATCCGACTGTGAAGTGCCAGCATGGTAATTATGCCCCCCACGTGTTTGGCGCCAATTTCGCTGGTCATAGCTCTTTGGCGCCCAATAGTTGTTTCTTGAATTGCTCATATTCACAGCTAGCCCCACATTGCTCGCCTCTTTGGCGTCTTTTAGTCGTTTGGGTAAATCATCGCGAAACAGATATTTACTTTGCGTGCCATCAACAACACATATTGAAGCATATTCTGGTTTCAAAACGGATTTTATTTTGTATCTGCGAAGGCAGGCCAACTCATAACTTATGTGGCCGAATAAAACTAATGAATCAACTCGCTGTGTTAAGAGCTGTTTTACATCTAGCTCGTTAGACTTTGTATTAGTCAAAGAATGAGCTGTTTGCAGAGATATAAGGGCAGCTTTCCGAACCGATACTTGTATTTTCGAGACATTTAAATCCGCCCGTTGTTGATAGTGTGGCAATTTTGCCCAGATTTCTGGGTTAACTGTTAGTGAGCATACTGTTGTGCAATTGGCGGGTCGCTTGTATTTTTCTTGAATTAATGTCAGCTTTTCAGGTGCTAGTTTTTTATTCCATCGGTTTTCCGCTATAGTAGCCAGTAATATCATCGCCGGCAGCTTCAACATCTTCAAGCATTTCCCCTAAATTCGTAAGGGTTTCATCCGTTTAATTTGTTTTGTCATTTGTGGCGCCATCTTGAAGTAAAGCTGATACATTATCATCATCGTCTTGCACATGCACGCTCACTTTACCTGCTCATAATTGGTCATTTCGCCCCTATTTTCAAGCCGAGTTTTGCTATGTGACCTTCGCTTTCGGCATTTACGACCCCGACTCTCATTTCCAGAACCCGAGCTAGCTTCTGAAGACGAGGACGACGTTTTAGAGCACCGCTTTTTGCCTCGTCGTCTGTGCTGGGATTCTTCAACGTCTGGTTGTTGAAGTGGCACATTTGTGTCCTGAGACTTTTGCCATAAGTCGCCTAGCAGCATTGCCATGTGGCTCATAGTTTGATTTAAATCAACTAATGTTTGAGCCAATTGTGGAGTGTTGGACTGTTGTGTGTCCTGGTGCTCAAGGTCATTCGGCTGTGAAACAATCTGTTCTGTGCTGTTAGTTGCCATATCTGTTTTGGAACTAAAATACACACATATATATAAGTTTTATACTTACGGTTTTTGTCCCACAAAAGCCTCTGTTATGTCTTACCTACTCGTCAAAATTCTTCTGAGTTTTAGCAAAGTCAAAGAGGAGAAATCACACAAGTGTTCTGATCAACAAGCTGCAAGCACTGATCAGCGAAGCATGCACGCGCTTCTCATGTGACTCCATAGTGACGTGCATGATGACGTAGTAGAATTCCTGTTGGCCACTCATTGCTAATGATATATGGATGAAAGATGTCAAAAAACATCTAAGAAAGGTATGGAACAGACACTTATATAACTCAATGGAAAATGGACTTCATCACATGGATTGAAAGACACTGTGTCCTCCTTCTCTTAGACCTTGGCCTTCTATCTTAAAGAATAACTTTAGTTCAGTCAGTTGCACACACTTGCTCTGTGAGCATAAACCCAACAGGACATTCTAAACTTTTTCATATAAACTCAACAAAGAGCAAACTATGATCTGGACAAGTAAAGTAGTGGGTTAATAATTATATGAATGAAAAAAGCCAATCCAGAAAAAGTCCCATCTACCCTTTGGCTAGTGCATTTAAATTAACAACAGTCAGTCCTGGGTATACTTTTTGTGTGTTATGTACTCGGGTGAATATGATGTTTGTGATGTTACTCTAAGTGTGCATCCACGGTGGGAATCGAACCTGCAACCTTTGGAGCATTGGACTAGTATTCAAAAGATTGCGGGTTTGATTCCGACCGTGGTCAGGCAAACTTTTCAGCTTGTCCGGCATGGATGCACACTCAGAGTAACACCATGCACAAACATCAGTCCTGAGTAATGTTTACTTCCAGATAAAGATATTTACATGTAGTCAGGTTTCAGTTCCTTCCCTTTGGGGTATACTGGGAAAATGATCAGTGTACACTGCTTTTATTTGTAAACTGCTTTGGTGTACACTATTTAAAATCTTACTATGTTTGAGTGATCTGTTTCACATTAGTAAAATCAGTAGTAAGAATTTTGCATAACAATTTTAAGGTACTTCACCAAAAATTGCACTTTGATCTATTATTGATAGATAAGGGATTCGAAGAAATAATGGAAGAATTAATCTTGTGTGGAGAAACCCACTGATCAAATTTACAAATTTAAATCTGGTTATTCCTACCAACTTCTAGATAAACTTACCTTGATATCTGACATCCGTATGGCAAATTTATTTACCTATACTGGCGAATGCTAATTATCACCCTCATAGAAATTTATGCAAGGGAAACTAAACATTTTCTACACCTCCACCTCTTCTTAGAGTTGATAACAACTGTGGTTGGAATATGTTGGATGGTACCATTCCTGGCAACAGAAGCACTGAACATATTGCTTATGATCATCTGGTTGTCTGCATATACAGAAAATATCCACTTGTGTTTTTATGCAAGTTGTGTGGCATGGTACTCTCTTTGTTGTCTTAGGGAAGGGGACCATGGCTTTAGATTCGAGACAACTGACATAGTGCTGATGCATGGTAGTTTGTCGCAAATGCTAATGCAAAAAGACCACATTCACTAACACCTATTTGTTTCTGCACTTTTTCGTTCAAGGATGTCATTGTACAACCAGAATGTCTTAGCAAGCAACAAGAATGCTCAACAACATGTGAACTTGGTCTGTTGTATAGGCTGTCAAGAACTCTGACTGTGCCCAAGTTGGGTTTTGTTGAAATCGTCATGCAGCAAACCCAGTGTCCTCCAGTATTCAGTAGTTGTATGAATGGAGATTTGTCAGGAGCAACTTCTAAACAATATTTGGAAGAATCTGTTAAGACCATCTATCTTTGGAAACTTGTTCTTGAGTAATGCTTAACCAGCACAGATTTCTGTATTATTCAACCAAGTATGCTTGTCTAGTAGCCTTGGTTTGGTTGTGCTGTACAAAACCAAAGGGACTTCATCACCTGTATCATAGCTGTTCTCTATTGAAGTCCACACCACAGGGTCAGGCGAGTTTTCATCAATTGTGATATATGGGGGTGATTCAACGGAAAGATTGGTACTACCGATTCTTCACTGAACTTATTTTCTGTTAGTTGAGATATGTTGGTGAAATGGCTTTGATCATGAGGACAAGCAAATTGAGTAAATGTTTCCAGATTCATAGATGTTTCCTTAGCTATCGTATCAGGGATCTGCGTAAGCGGTGGTATATTACTCTTCGATTTTGTATCTTTCACGTCAAGTTGACATTGTTGGTTTGAATGGTAGGATATAGTCGTTGTCTCTTGTGGTAGTATGCAGCTTTTCTTTGGTTGTAACTTCTTTTTTTTTCTTTGGTTCAAAGTCATCATCTACTGGGAGGTCGACTTTGTAGTGTTTGCACATCATAGATGCATGTTCTCCAGATCGCTTATTATATGGGTTTTTCTTCTGTCTCACCGGTAGAGAAAGGTATTGTTTGTCTGGTTTGGAACAACATACTTTCTCTTTCTGCTTGACATTTGAGATGTCTTTGTTTTCTATGAATATTTTGCTGTTCATATCTTTTGCCACTTCCTTGTTTTTGGTTTCAAAATTTTCCTTTTCATCGGTAAGGTGGTTATGTTCAAAGTTGTTCAAAAGCAGTTTTAAGCCAGTCGTAAGATTTTCAAGAGCTTGTAAATCATAAACATGATATGTTAATGATGTCAGTTCTTTTAAAATTTCTGTGCACTTCATTTTTAACTTCAATTGTGTCGGGAGTATTGCTGACTTCCTTGCTTTGTTTTATTTCTTTTAACGGCTGACGAGATGTTTCTTCATACACAGTATGTTCGTCATTCAATGGACAACTAAAGAGTAAATCTTGGTCTAAGGAGATGTGAGGATTTTCACGTTATTTCATTGGTAATGAATCTCATTGCCACTCAGGAAAGTGATTAAACACTGCAAAAAAATGCTTACATGGCAGACCATTTCGTCCAAAATCTAAGCATTCATAATTAGGCATTATATCTCCTGAACCAAATGATAGATTGTACCAACAATCCTTTGACTGTGCCTTTATTTCAAACACTCCAAACTGGGTGTGAACTTTAATATCGCAGAGTTGAAATTCTTCCACTGATGTTATCTGTTTCATGCAGTGTTCCAATAATTGATGAGGTTTATTGTGCAGATATTTGGGGACATTTGTGTTATATCGTCAATATTGATTGCTGCATCTTGTGTTCAGCTCCAATTATGTACAATACAAAGAATGAAAATAATTTTCTCAGTTTTAACGGTCCATATCCATGATATAATGTGCGTTGTTGGTGATTCGCAATGGTCTGTCTGGACGAATTCAAAATAGGATATTATTTACCTGTTACATTTATCAGGGAGAAACTCTTCTAATAATATCGTTATCATTGCACTGAGGCTATTGTTGGGTGTTTCGCTTCAGATATTGGTACTTCAACGACTTGTTTTGCCGTTCCATCCCATTGTTGGTGTTAATATTGACCATGAACCTCTTCTGCCTGAATGCCCACACCCATCGCTATAAAGTCCAATATAAAGCAGCAAGTACAGTTATGGGCAAGTATTACATGTATATTATTATCATGCATAGTTGTATGTCAATTAATTTCAACTATTTGATGAAACAAATTTAATTAAGAAGCTGATTACATGGGTAATTTTCAGGCTTTTGATGTATGGAAGTTTGGAAAGATAATACACTTGTTATCACTGATGGCTTAATTCAGATGCAGTTAAAGATGTACAATTAGCATTTTTTTTTAAATTATGCTCTAAATTATTTTCAAGCTTTTCTAAAGTTTGCATGTTTACAACTCAACTCATTGCCATACTTCATCAGTTGGGCTAAAATGTCATTACATTACGGTTCATGTAATCAGCCCTAAGCTTCTTATTAATTCAATATAAGTAATAGTATATCTATCACGCTAGAAAATATGGTATACCTTCCTACACCAGCCATGTGTTTCCAAACCACTTTCATAGTTTGGGACTTGTCAACCAAAAGTTTTGTTTCTTTAAGAGTTTCGCATTTTCTTAACTCTTTTTCTGTTGTGGACTTAGCAACGTTGCAAAGTAACAGCAGGACTTCTCTGCTTTTTGAAAGCGTAAAAAATAGGTACGCAGCGCGTACATGTTGCATGCCAATAAAACCACTGAATAAAACCTTATAACTAATGTACAAAACCATTTGGGGGGGGTGCACAGGCTTACGTGGGGGTGCACACCCCTCCATCGGTCTATGTTATAAGCAAATATTTGCTTAAATCTAGGCTTGCAGAGATTTTCTAACACGAGACATCTCTAGAAAACTTACTTCATTAGTAAACTAATGCAACGATAGATAACGTTTGATAATAATAATCAACACAAATAGTACAATACTAAATAGGATGTATATTGGACGATGGCTACTGTATATACAAAATTGAAATTAGAGTATGGGTTACAGTCATAAGTTATAAGTCTTGTAGTCAGTGATTTAATTACAACCCATTCCACAATTTCCAAAGCTTGCCAAAAATGGTCAATGACAACGTGAATAAATAACGAACATTCAGCTAGCGAAAACTAAAAGATGAGTCACTTTTCTATGACAATAGAACACGTGTTATTGCATTTTACAGTACATGTTCTACCCAGTTTAAGTTTGAAGATGTTGATTATGATGCATATCAAGTCCATTGTTGGTATAACAGGTAACACATTGTTGGTTCGATTATGAGTATTCGAACAGGTGCAATGTACCGTACAACAAGGTACTTCTTCAAGTACTGTGCATCTTTCTTAATTATCAAGTCTTCCTTGTCGCGTTAGCTTTTCTTTGTACTGTACGTGCGACTTTGTTGAGTAGCCTTTCGCTTTAACATGTTTCGGTATCAGAGCCAGGTGCAATGTACTGTGCCGTACAACAAATATCCAAGTTGTATCTTCAAGTACTGTGCAGCTTTCTTAATTTTCATGTCTTCCACATTGAATTTTCAGAATACATAACGACGCAACTGTAGACGTGTTAACTTTGGTAGCTGAACTGAATTGTTTCATTTTCGAATATTCATTGACACAAGATGATATATCATTCAATATAATTTATCCACCAATGTTGTCAGGCAGCAAACGAAAGGCATATTATTGTATACGTCTGATATCTGTAAATATTAATGCAACAGTATTAGTGGATGCAATTATGTATAATGTAACATGAATTTCATAAGCCATACAGTCAGAGCTTTGTTCGTGACATGACTAGATAGTAATAAGACGTAGTAACATACCAAAATTGTTCTATTTTTAGTACTTTTGTTGACTGAAGTTATCGTTAATGTGACCATGTTAATGTATAGAGATATCTAAAGAGGAAAAAAACCCAATTAAACAGATAAACACAGGGAAGGGAGAGGGGGAAAGAGAAAAAGAAAACTTACCTAAATGTAGCCATCGTCCACACAAGTACTTATTTTTATAACATTGGCAGTGGCACAGAGCCTTGTCTTAATAACATTGGCAGTGGACAGTGGCTTATCTTTTAATAACACTGGGAGTGGCGCAATGGCTTGCCTTAATAACATTCGCAGTGGCACAATGGCTTGCTATCTTTGCGATACCTTAATTGGACGGTATATAATTATTATTTCTATGTCCTAAGAGAAGCCCATATTGCTTTATGATCACTAAAGTAAGTTTCTAGAATACCAGCTTCAATTTCCTCTTCAATTAAATTTGTGTATAAATGATCAATTAACGTTCTGTTGTCGGTTGTAAAGCCTGTTATCAGTTGCCTGTACGTAATGATTTTGTACAACCATCAAATTGTAGAGTGACTGTCGATCAGATTCTACCATCCAGTTGACATTGAAATCTCCAATTATAATGTTTTGTGCAGAAGAATCTTCATCAAGTACGCTACGTAGTGAAGACAGTAGACGTGATATAGCAATATTGGGTGAGCGATATACTGCAATTATATTCAGATGCGGATTACTTTCTGTTTTAATAATTGTAAACTCGATTCCATTGACGTTGTGAGCATAAGGGTATCCTTCTTTTAAAGGGACTCGGCTATAAACAGCTGTTCCACCGTATGGACGTCCTGGACCCGTACCTTGGGAAACATCATTTCTGAACAACCTGTAGCCATCAATGTTGTATATATCGTCAGTGTCTGAGGAGTTAAATCTTGTTTCAGTAAATATCATAATATCCATAGACGAGTAATTAATGTCTCTTCGAACATCTTCAATGTGTTTATGCAGAGATCTTGCATTGGGGTAACAAACTTTCAAATCAGATTGATCCAACATATAAAGTGGTTTGAAACAAAGATTCAAACTTTGTTCGGTTCTTAAGATTTCCATTTCCTTGACAACTCTTTGATCAACAGATATCTTGTCTTCACATAGGTCAGTTATGTATAATCATTCTATTGTTGTAACTCGACTTAAAGCAACATAATGAATGTGAGGAAAAGCTCTGTTGCTGTTTAGGTTTACAACAATCTGTGTTTGAGTATCACCTTGTGATCTATGAACAGTTTTTGCTGATGCTGGTCGCAATGGGAACTGTTTTCTAACAACTTGAGCAGATTTCGTTCTACCGACTGGAAATTGGGTTGTGACAGGTTTAATTGGTGTCCATGTGCTTTGAATTCCTCTGACATAAAGCGTTCTGTTTTCTTGACGAGTTTTTCTACCAACATCTTCATAATCAAATTGGACCCAGATAAGACCCGAAGGTTTATTCACATCAGTGAGCTGTATCAACTTGATAATGTTACTCGCCCCATTTGTAAGACCATCATCAGTTCGCACATTTGTTGCAACTTCTGTACGTTGCCCAACAGCAAGTTTTAACTTGTGAGCTAACTGTTTAGAATTTCTTAACGGAACATAAGGTATTTGCCTCATTATTTTTTCCTTAAGTTTAGCTGAAGCTGCTCCAATAACACTATCTTGAGCTTTAATTGTATATCTATTATCAGTAAATGATTCATATACTTGTTCATTATATTTGTCTACTAAAGCATTTTGAATAAACAAGCGTGGAGCTTCTTGAGGACAATTCGATTCCTGAACGCATCTTTCCTTCAGCTTTTAAAGATCAGCAGGTGTATGTTTACCTTCTCGTAACCTGTTTAAGATTTCAGCAAACATCTTACTTTCTCTTTGTCGCATGATCTCATCAAGTTCAAACATTCTAAAATATTTTTTCCATAAATTTGGAGCAAGAACACTATAATAGTTTAAAGACTGGAGATCAGTGAAAATGTAGCCATCCATGACAGGTTTAAGTTGAAATAAGTCACCGATTGTGATGATGCTAACACCACCAAAGTCGTCTTTGCTTCCTTTTAAATCTTTTAAACGGTTATTTAACTGTATTGTAAACATACTGTTTCCAACCATTGATATTTCATCAAGTAATATCAACTTTAATGCACCCAGCTCACATCGTAAAGTGTTCAACCTACCAGAGTCCAGTGGTTTATAAATTTTAAGCGATTGGCTCGCTGGAATTGATAAGGCACTATGGATTGTGTTTCCTTTAATTAGATAAGCTGCTTTTCCTGTTGGAGCGAGCAATAATACTTGAACGCGACGAAAGTCTTCGCCAGCTCGTTTGTTATAGTGCTTTAAAGCAGCCTGATAAATTGACTTAATTAAGTGAGATTTACCAACCCCTCCACTTCCACTTAAAAAGGCATAAAATGGATTATCAGATATCTTCATTAAATGTAAAGCATGATAAAAAAATTCCCTTTGTTTCTTGTTTAGCATTTGAACCAAACGTCGGTATTCATCATCTTCCATTTCATTTAAAATAAGTGGTTCATTATTAGGTAACCTTGATGGGATACCCAAGTCTTCAGAGACATCATACGTTTCATTTAAATCTGGATGTGTATCTGTATTACCTTCGTGCTCATCCCGACGTTCATTGTCTTGTGTAACTGGTGCTATTGTGTCATACGCATTATCATCACATTCTTGTAAGTGATGTTGAATTTCATTTAAGTCTTCACTACAAACCGCGTATTGTTCCATTTGTTCACTGATCTCATCACAACGAGCTTCGTAATGTTCTTGAAAGGAAGAGTAAGCTCCCATTAAATCGGCCTGTTCATTTCGCCATGGAGTGAAAAGCATGATCAACTCACGATAATGTTTTTCTGGTTGGGATTCTTTGTTAAACCAAACACTGCGGATAATTCTTGCATGTGATCTTTTTTTGACCGACTTTTTAGATGAAACACAACTTTCAGTGTTTTGAACACCTAGGTCATCATCATTATTTTCATCTTCATCTTCCAAAGGAAGGTTGTCAATATCTGATTTTTAACAGATTTCTTATACTTGTTCAGCCCACATGAGTCGTACCATGCTGCCCAGTCAGCTAATGTAATATTTTTTAAACTGTCTGGTCGCTCTACATATCGTTTCAGAAGTCCACCAGAGTGAATTTCTTCAGATTCGTCTGACATCTTCTCAATGTCACTCAGAGGTTTCAATAGTTCAACGCGATCACTTGGAGGAGATGTGTTAATGAATACAACATTTCGAGAAGATTTTCTCATGGGAAGTTGCAGAATGATGTACACTGCTTCTTGTGCACTTATTTCAACAGAGTTTAAAAACTTGTTGCCAATGTCACGAACCTGTTGTTTGATGGTGAAATTAACTTCTTTAGCTTCAGCACATGCGTTACGTAACAAGTCACTCATACCTTTTTGAGCCTTAGAAATATAGGAAACAATGTACATTGCACAGGCATATACATCCAGCACAAATTGAATGTCCATGTTAGCTCTCCATGCTTGGAGGCAAGCAGGATTATAATTGTTAACCCTTAATTCATTGGGACTTCTTTTTAGAAATATTGTTGGACAATTTAGTGATGATCGAATTGCAAGAATATATTGATATTCTGAAACATCTAGTTCTTTCATAAGTTGATCAAATGTTACGTCTTCTCCCTCTTTCAAATCATTTAGTTTATTCTTAATATTTTTCCACAACTCTTTTCTGGCTCTTATGACAGTTTCAGAAGCATTGTCATCAAGTGGATGAAGTATTTGTGTTGATCTCATTGGTGGCTGAGGATAATTAAATCTACAAACTTTTTTGGAGTTTTTTCGGCATGTGTGGGAATGTCTATGAGTTTGTCTGTTTACAAGATCAAATAATTCAGTGTCATTATTATCAGGCTTTCTACAAGTTATTATTTGGTCAATGAAATTCACTACATCTTCATCTTTATCAACACCAAATACAGGTGCATTTTCAAGCCATATGAGCATATGGATGTGAGGCGAGCCTCTCTGTTGGTATTCAACCCTGTAAAACCAATCTTTCAGCTTCCCTAATGGGGCAATTTCACTCATTAAAAAATCTTTTAAGAAAGTATTAAATTGGTAATCAAAATGCCTTGCACAAGTTACTGGGTCACTTTGAATTAGTCTACACTTTTCATCCCAATTTAAATTATCTCATTGTTCATCACTATAATCTTTGTGATCAACAAGCTTACCAAGGATTCTTAATAAATGATTCCATTTTGTTTCAGCAGATGAAAAACTACAAAATAATGATGCAGGTCCTAATTGCCGAATCATAGCAAACAAATCCTTTTTGGCTTTTTCAAAGTAAGGTGGGGAACCTCTCAAAGCTCTTAAAAATTTGTATCCTTCATCATGGCAAATGAGATTTGTTAAACCTTCTGGGGTTTTTAACTCACCAGCAGTAAGTGTTCTGTTTCCCATTTTACACTTGCGAATAGCAAGTTGAGATTGCCCTAGCAGTAATTTCATCTGCATTTTTTTAGTTTTAAAAAATATGTTCTCAATACACATTGCAGCTCTTCGATCAGATCGTCTAAGTTCTGATTTACATATTTCACTGTAATGAACACGAGTCAATCTGTGCTTCTCATCTGGCCGCTTTTGACCTAAGAATATTCCTGGATAAGCTAGTTCCTCTGAATACTGATCTTTAAATATACTGAGTGGTCTACTACCTTCACCAGGTGCAACATTGTATATATGTTGTCTTTCAGTATCATCTACAAAATCAGTAGGTGTAAGCATACTGTCTGTTACACCTGCAGGAATTTCTGCTTCATCTTCACTCCATTCATCTTCTGATGTTAAATTAGTTTGATCAACTGTGATATTTTCATTGTCACTGTTAGGTGTTGTAACATCAAAGTATGATAACCAATGTTGATCAAAAGTTATTCCTTGTTCTTGATATAGTTCACTAGTATTTACCAACCAAGCTGCAGCTTGCATCACTTTATTAGGCCTCACATTCAAAGATAAGGCAGAACTCTTATATTGCAGTCGACGTTTTAATTGAACTTTAATAGTCGCAGTATCTTGTGGCAACCTGGGTAGCATGTTAACGGTATTACATATATCTGCTGGTACATTCACAACATTACCAGTAATTTTAAGTTGCCGTCCTCTCGGAGCTTGCATTATTTTTTGAAATGCCAATCTTGGAGCTATAAGTCTGCATTCTAATTCATTTAAATCAAAGAAGTCAGGTTTTGTTGGAAACTTCATGCCATTTGTAATTGCAGAGGGTGGCACTTTACCCTTTTTAAGATGTTTGTCACATGTCAAACACAGCCATTCAATATTATCCACACTTTTAATACCTTGTAGATGTTTAGTAGCATTTGGATTGGATAATCGAAGTCTTTCGGCTGGACAAACACTATGTTTATACCATAATTGATCACAGCATGAACATATATACAGAGGACCTGTTGATACAGATTTATGGAATTTATGTATCAATTGTGATACACTATTATGTGATATATTGTTATCATTATTGAGCCCTTGACAACCTGATGGAGGAGATTGTTTGTTTTTTCTAGAATGTCTACTTTTATTTTCCTTATAATTAGCTCTTACTTTTGCTAGTCTTTGCTCTCTTTGTTCGACAGTTTCATTTTGCCTTTCCAACCTTCTTGCTTTTCGCTGGTTTTGAAGCCTATTTTCCCTCTCTGAAACAGTTTCTTGTTGTTTTGCCTGTCTTCTTTTCTCTCCTCGCTTTGCAAGTCTATTCCCTCTCTCTGAAACAGTTTCTTGTTGTTTTGCCTGTTTTCTTCTCTCTCTTTGCTTTGCAAGTCTATTCTCTCTCTCTGAAACAGTTTCACGTTGTTTTGCCTGTTTTCTTCTCTCTCTTTGCTTTGCAAGTCTATTTTCCCACTCTACAACAGATTCTTGCTGTCTTTTCTCTCTTTGCTTCTCTCTTAGCTTTTCAAGTCTGTTTTCTCTTTCTACAACAGACTCTTGTTGTTTTCTTTGTTGTTCATGGTTATTTGATGTTGTGTCATTAGCTGTGTTATCCAAACTATTTGACAATGAAATGTTTCTATGACATTTCACACCCTTCAACTCAAATAGACTATTTTGACTATTTTGTCCAGGATAGAACTTACAACTGTTAGTGTTATGAAAAAAATGTATAAGGTTTTGAATTCCTTCAATAGAAACTAAAACACTATAACCCATTGTTGCATATGCATGGGCATATCTCGTGAATGAGAATCAAAAACTTTAAATACATCTGGGAAAGGCATTAAAACTGCAACAGTGTTTGCTCGAATAGTAAGTAAACATGCTTTATAATTACCAGCATCAAATACTTCATGAAAGGCATGTTCAAGTGTAACATACGGTTCATTGTTGTATTCCATCCATAATGCTCCAGAAAAAGAGTCACTGTACTCCAAATTAAAAGTATCATTGTTGATAGACAATATTTCAGGAACATCAGTGAGCAATAAGAAATCTTTCTGAATGTGCTGACTAATTATGGCATAAAGATTGTTTGCATTAACTAGAAGCATGTTCATAAGTGGTGTATCCCAAATATTAACAGATTTTATTTCATTGTATACAATAGCATAAATTGACATGGCAACACATTGTTTTCCAGCATTTATTCCAAACATGGATATATTACCTTGGTTGAAGTCTGCTCGAACCGTAAAACTATGATCAACAATATCATAGATATTAATTGGGCCTGGATTTTCCTCCACATCATTTGCAAGCCTCAATAGCAATGGTACATAAACATGATAAGATACCATTTGTGTATACCACATGCAAACTTCATTATTACTTTCAATCCTGGTAACTATATTTTTCAAGCATGGTAAATAAAATATTTCTAAGTAGAACATTA